GGGAAAAGAAGCTTCACCATTGATTTTTTTTCTTTTCTTTTTCTTTCTATGGACTTTGTGCATTGCTAGGGTTTTGTGTACAAGCAAACGCAATGCATTATCTTAATTCATCTGTTCTTGAAACTCACATGACCAAGATTAGTTTTTCTTTTGGGCTCCAAAAGTCTTTGCCAACTTGCCCTTTTTTTCTAACTTAGGAGGAAGAAAAATAAATGTTACCCTTAATTAAGTTAAAAACATTACTGTCTATTCACTCAACATTATTATGTATACATACTGCCTACAAAAGAAAAGAAAACAAAGAGGCGAAGAGGACAACATAAGGTAGGGTATTGGCTGCAAAGATGAACGCCAGAATCAAGAAGTGGTAGGTCATGGTGTCCAGAAACTTTCTTTTTCTTTTTTTCCACCTCTTTTTCATTATCTTTTCTCTATTATTCTGCATTATGTCTATGCTTTTGTGCACATTCTTCTCGTGATTGATTTCGACTACTTCCCATTAGCCTAGGGCACTTTGGACCCTTTTGCTGAATCTTGATACCCACCATGTATGCTAAATTCATACAGATTGTTCTATAACTTTAGATTAATCCTTGCATCAGGTCAATCATTAGGAAGATGTTCTCATTATTCTTGCGACTGAGAATTCACTCCAAGTTAAGTACTAAAGCAGTGTCTGCTGCGTGATGTAATTGGTTCTATATCTTTTGCAGAATAAACAATGTAATATTAAACTACTTTAAGAGGTCCTTTGATGATTAAGCAAACCAAGTTCCTGCTTTAATTATAGCTATAGTCCTAAAACCCGTAGACAGCAGGTATTAAGGACACCAATTAGTTTAACAGCGTTGTTACGCCTTGCTCTTTGGCCTTTCATGTCTGGATTAATTATATTTTGTAAGTGAAGATTAAAAACAATAAGAGACAGTTGTTACCTCAGAACGTTCTGTCAAGAACATGGGGGTAACATGCAGCTCTTTGAAGGAAGATGCAGTGCTGTTCTTTTCTTACACACTGTATTTCTAGCGATGGATGTTTGTACCCTTTTTTTCAAGGGGTTATTGTGTGGTATTAGATCTTTGGTTATTTCATTTGGAATCTTGCGGCGCATGTACAGTGACTTGGGTTTCTCTTTTAGAAACTTCCCCGAATTTGCTTGCTTGTGAATATCTTCGCATTATCAATGGGTATGCGGTCCTATTGCTAAAGAGACTGAGGGAAGGGGTTGGAGATGCTAGTATTACAGGTGCAAGATTCGATTCTCATGCTCTACAAAAGACAGAACAACAACCAGAGAGTGAGGAGAGTTAAAGATAGGACAGATAAAAAAAAAGATAATCCCCACATTAGGAACGCATTGATTCTTTTATACGCACTTGCTCGGAAGACTCCTAATATTTCTTGCTCGGAAGACTCCTAATATTTCTTTTTCAGTACCTTCCGCGTTACTACCTAAAGATTGCCATCGAGCAAGATCTCGTACCAAAAGGGCGAGTCCTAAAGCTAATCCCGCGCGAGCCGATGCCTTTTCTGTGTACGAAGTCTTGTCATTTTTAGGGTTCTTCTCTATCTATCTTTTGTTCACATTGTATATCCAAGTTTACGAAGTGTTCCGTAATTCTACCTCATGCTTGAACTGAACGACTTATTACTCTACATTTTTTCAGTCTGTCAATTGAATGTTAATCTGCAATCATCCAATTTTAAAAGTATACTACGAAAATTTTCAGCATGTGAAGTTAAAAAACTTATAGTTATTGTCAAAGGCGGGGAATAGGTAGGGTTTTGGTTATGAATTCGGTAAAGTGTCGATCACTTTCACAGCCATCAACGAGAAAGAGAAGGGGAAAAATCTCGAAAGCACTTACTTTGACGCAGGGCTCTATGCCGAGACCATATCTCTCTTCCGAATTCCCCATTTCGTGAATCACGACATAGTTACAGTACAAAGATCATTAAAGACAACGTACAAATTGCACCGTAATCTAATCCAGAAATCAGTGGACGTTGCCTTTACTCCGAAAGCTCACTTTCCGTCGCCCTCAGACGTTTATACATTCCCCCCCATAAATCACGCAGAGATCATCTGCGGGGGGACGTGCACAAGCGGGGATAAACACCCAACCGGTCCTAAATCTGTAGTCCGATGTAGTTCTCCCGGGCCAATTGCCGCCCGGAATTGATGACGTGACGCCTGGTCACCGCCGGCCGTCCTACGTGGGCACGCCGACGTGGAGGATTTGTGGGTCGGGGACTCGGAACTGCTTGGAATGCTTGCTTCTTTGGAGTGTCGATTTGGCCACAGATTGCAGATCTTATTTGGACTGGTGGGTTGTTGATTGGTCCCATCTCGATCCACCTTGAAATCAACGGGACTTACGGGCTATTGTGCTTTCGAGAGTCAAAAGAAAGTCAGAAACACGAAGCTGGGTGTTTCGTTAATTGGTATACAAATCGAAGGCAAAAGCCTAAAAAAAAATACTATATTTGGTCTGTATATTATATAACTCAGTCGGGATATAATACGAATTTGTTTTCAGAGCATTAAATGAACTTTGACATTACTTCTAGGGCAAAAACAAGGAAGGAAGATCTTGAAGTTGGTGCACCTTATACATTCACACACGCGCACACACACACATATATATTTCATAAATTACATTAACAAAATTGGAACAACTAATCAAGTTTGGAAATTGGGGTACTTTGCATATGCCCTTCCTACTTGTCAAGTTGTGATCTGATCGACTGGACTTATTTAAACATAGTGTAGCTAGTATAGTAGCCTAGATTTGAAGATCATATTATATTACACATAAATTATTTGCGTGGACAAAGATAAAAGCCGGGCGGCAAGGGAAAAGTGAAATGCCAACTGCTTTTTTGACAACATTAACAAAGTCTCTACTACCATTTTGATATCCCAGTCAACCCTAGATCTCAATTCCATTCCTGAGAAAATGATAATATCTGAATTTCGATTTTACATCATGGGTTAATTAAAGGCGATTTACGTCGTAAGGCACAGAATTGCACGCTGGAATTGTTTTGCTAATAAAACAGGATATCGAAATATTCAGCTCGATTAATCTTCATAAATGCACACAAACCATCCCGTCACATGCATTAGATACTCGAGTCAATTGTGTTGGCTTGAACTCATCTATCTAAATGTTCTCATATCAAATCGAGGATTTTCTTTTACCGATCCGATTTTATGCGGGCTCTATATGGTTTTATCGCGGGCGCTGCGTACGGCGAATTACCGACCCGAAACATGTATGTTCAGTGTCTAATTTCGAATAAAAAACGGTTCGGTTCGAGAAGAATGATGCATCGAACCGCTTCACTTTTGTACTTGAGTTCTAAAGCTAGGAAATTGTACCCTGACTAAGACAACCCATTTCTAAAACATGATGAGAATTTCGTAAACTACGGTTGTGGGGTCTATCTGTCTTTCCTACGAGCCATGGCCCTCGTCCCTTTCGCAACTAACACGATAAGTTTCATGCGACAAAACACGACCAGTAATCTTTGATTAAGGGTCCTAATTACTTTACTTTAATCTTTCCACGTTGCATGGGGGATGGCGGCATCTAATTTGTTGACCCCAAGTATTGACAAAGTTGGAGTGGTTGGGATGGAAAATTAGATCGAGTGTTTGACCTAGCTAATTGAACCGTCATCATACCTCGTCGAGTGGCACCACATGCGGAGCGATTGAATGTGGCAGAAGGACATCCCCTTCTCGGCCTCTTTTTCGCTTGGATTATACACAAAACTTTTAGTCCAAATCCGATTGAACATTCCATTAATTTCTTCCGTCTTTTAATTGTTTTTAAGAATCGTTTAATTTTGAACAATCGGATGCGTATCTTTGTCCTTAAGTGGATGCTTCATGCTTAGATACGGTCGTTTTCGGGGCGCCAAATCCGCGCTCGATGGCGCCTCGATGCTTGCCCTCAATTCCTCCGGGATTGAACTGCAAATTGGAACTCTCATTCAACACTACAAAAACAGTTTGGATTTGGACATCAGATGCCACGTCGATCCAGTGCCCTTCGGCCTATCCAAACTCGCACTTGTTCGTTCCGTCGAGCGCTTATGATGATAGGAAAAGAATGTGTCTCGACCCACGCCTCGAACAATCGAATCTCGATCCGCCGTGGTGTGATTCACATACGGCAAATCACGAAATCGACTCCGAACCACAAAATGGCTTCGATAAAGCACTCCCCTGTCCAGGAGAGACGACGACATTCGATCTTAAGACGCCATTCTCTTTTTCCGGGTACAGAACGTAATCCCGCCCCACTTCATATCCACGCGAGTTCTCTTCGCCTTGTCCGCCCGTTTTGAGCCTTTCGGTCGGATATCCCGACCCGATATCGGGTCTGGTCAAGACGGTTACTGCGCCACCCCCCCGGTTAATAACTAGCGCTGCATTCGTCAGCCATCACTTTTTGTTGGAGCGATTAATAATCTCTTCGGACAAGGGTCCTCTCTCCGGCGGATTTCAGGCCCATGGCAGGGAAAAAACTGCCAAAAAGTGCAGAACATCTCCCTTCTTTCCCTCCCTTCAATTCCCGAAAGCTTAACCGTTTCTCAGAGACGGTCGGTCCCCTACCGGCTCCTCACCGCCCAATCAGGAGACGCCACGTCGCGCCGGGGGGGGGGGGGACCCGCCGGGCCATTTGTGTCCCATGCAGGGGTACCAATGAATACGCATGTTTTCTCTGTCTACATGCCCGTCTACTCAAATTACGGAAAAATTACCGAAACGCCTCTCGCACTTTCTTATAATTTTATTCGCACGGTTTATTATTTATTTATATATATATTTAGCGACCTCCGGCAAAAGATAAATCGGAAAATAAGTAGTTCTCGCCATAAAGGGGAAAAAAAAAGCCAATAGATAAATTAATGAAGTTGGAAAGTTAATGAATAGGAAGCGAACATATTACTATAAAAGACCCCCCCCCCCTGTTCTCCGCCTGTCTATTGCTCCTCTCTCTCTCTCTCACATCAACTCTCACTGTCTCTCTCTCTCTCCAGTGCAATGCCTCTGTTCCTTCCCTTTCTGGCTTCACTCTAGCCGAAGAGAAGAACAGGAGCATTCGTCTGCACAAACTCAGAGAGAGAGAGCGAGAGAGACTGGAGAAGGAGGAGGAGGTCTTTGAAAGGTAAAAACTAAAAGAGGGAAGTGAGAACTTGGAGAACAGAGGGCATTTCCTCTGTACTTGCCTTATCTGCTCAAGAGAGAGAGAGAGAGAGAGTGGGAGGGAGACGAGTGAGATCTAGTTTGCGCATTTACCATCTCCGTCGCTCGCTTCCCAGGATGCCAGCTTTGACCTAGTTAAGAACACCCCAAATCACCTTACCATCTCGGGAACTTCCCTAGTCCGACCCCCACTTTCCATCCTATATAACATCCCCTGTTTTCGCCTTTTTCTCTCACACTCGGTGCTCTGCTTCGGAAAAACAGAGCAGGTCAAAAACAGAGTCTTGGGTTCTCTGTGTCCCGGAATGGCGCAAATCTCGGCCAAGGACCTGATCCCGAACTCGTTCGCGATGTCCCGGGAGGACATCGCGGGCCAGCTGGGGATGGTGTGGGAGCTGATCAAGGCGCCGCTGATCGTCCCGGTGCTGCGGCTCTCGGTCTACGTGTGCCTCGCGATGGCGCTCATGCTCTTCATGGAGAGGGTCTACATGGGCATCGTCATCGTCCTCGTCAAGCTCTTCTGGCAGAAGCCGGCCAAGCGCTACAATTGGCAGCCCATCGAGGAGGACCTCGAATCCGGCGGCTCCAACTTCCCCATCGTCCTCGTCCAAATCCCAATGTACAACGAGAAAGAGGTAACCCCGCCTCTAGATTTAGCGGTAACCACTGCATTGCAACTCCCAAGAACAGGAGGCTCATGGGTGCTTTGTGTGAAATGCTCGAACAGGTGTACAAGATTTCGATCGGGGCGGCGTGCGGGCTGTCCTGGCCGGCAGACCGCCTCGTGATCCAAGTCCTCGACGACTCCACCGATCCCGTAATCAAGGTAAAAATCCGCCTTCTTCGTCTGTTTTTCCAGTCGCCGATTGCGCCTTTGCTTTCGAAACAACATCCTCTGTACCCACTTCCCTGTTTCAATCCCGCATCTCGATAATTGCCATCAGAACAGTCAATTTTCCCGGCAACGCCACAGCACTAGTACCACCGCTACTGAATTCTTGTCGAAATCAATTGATTTTTCTCATGTGCGCTTCTGACATCAATTCGACACTGTCTCCCTGCATCATCGACACGCCATTTATTATCTGACTTTTGTGTTCGTTTCTTCGGCGCAGCAAATGGTGGAGCTGGAGTGCCAGAGATGGGCGAGCAAAGGGGTCAACATAGTGTACCAGATCAGGGAGACGCGGGGCGGGTACAAGGCCGGGGCGCTCAAGGAAGGGCTCAAGCGGAGCTACGTGAAGCACTGCGAGTTCGTGGCCATCTTCGACGCCGACTTCCGGCCCGAGCCCGACTTCCTCAAGCGCGCCATCCCGTACTTCCTCCGCACCCCGGACCTCGCCCTGGTTCAGGCTCGCTGGAGGTTCGGTAAGCTCCCCCCGAACCTCTTCCCGCAATGCACGCGAAATTTAATTGCTATGCGCCGTGTTAATTTGTCCGGTTGATTTTCGCATTAATTAGCGGGGGTGGGTTCGGTTTTTTTGTTTTTTTTCATAAATTTTTTTATTTTTTTTTATTTTAGTACGCTGCTTCCGGGGGGGAGTTCAGTCATGTGGCGTGGTGGGCCCACAGCTAATTTGTCAGAGACTGTAGCGCAGATTCCAGTAAGGAATAGGATAGTTATGTGGCCAAGCCGAAGAGGGCAAAAACAAAAATCATCCTTAGACCACGAATCATCAATTCAAGGGTTAATCACCCCTAACAAATTGGTGTTTACTTTCATGATGTAGTTGTGGACCATGTAGGTTAAAATCCGAAGCACTAGATTCGGGGCATGCGGTCGATCGATTCCACCTCGTAATTAAGGCCCGCGAGCGGAAGTACCTTCTCGCGAATCTCCCTCGACTTCTCTCTCGAGCCGGGGCCGAGAACCGAACGGGGGATCGGGTCCGAACCGGCCTTCGGATCGAAAGGGGAAGGGGGGGTTTAAAGGGTCTTTCGCAAAAGGGGGGTTTTGAGAAGTGTCGGTGGCCTTTCGTCTGGCACTATACCCTTGGGGGGGGGTCGTGACTCCGCATGCAATTTCCGTAACTTTTTATATTATTTTAAATTTTTTTATTATATATCAAAAGATTTGACCACTCTCGCGGGTCCCACGAGAAAGGGGGGAAAGTCCGTCCATCAATCACGCAAGGGGGGGTTGATCGATCGACCCGCCGACCGCCACCGCGGGGACCGTACGTCGCGGTGCGTCGCACCCGATCAGAGCCCCCGACCTAATGCACTGCGCTAGCGCCAAGTCAATAGCGACTAAAACTCAACTCACTCCGGATGCTGCTTCGAGGTAGCGTTTTTGATTTAGTTGAGGGGCGCCCTCTTTGCTTTGAACGAGTCTTTCTTTAAATGTCAAATGGCACGCCCCGTGCATTGACCGTCCGAAATTTTTTCTTTTTTTACCCCCCCTGAAAAATAATTACATTGCCTGTTTTCATGATGATTTCTCGCCGCCCGGAAAAAAAAAAAGAAGAAAAGAAAAGAAGCAATCCCGGATCCTTTGCTCTTTGCTTCAATCGAGAAATTCCGCTGTTTAAGCTAATTAATTACACATGCTTGTGTATATTATTTGATAGAACGAGATTTTTCATGCTCTCTTTTTCTTTTACTTTTTTTTAATCTTGCGGGCCGGATAGTACGGAGCAACATGGCGAAACGGGGTGGGGGTAAATACGTCCTTTGCCGCATCCGCAGCAGCTTTTCTTTCTCTCTTTCTTTCTTTTTTTTTTCTCTTTTTCTTCTTTTTTTCTCTTCTTTCATGGGAAAAATGGAGGAAAGAAAATAGGAACATGTGAGGTCGTACGGTAAGGACCCCGCGGTGAGGTGGACCACACCGTATCGCCTGCCGACACTAGAGAGAAACACGAAGGGGGGCTCCCCTTCCCGGGGTGACGTGGCGAAATAATGCCCGGGGGGGAGTCACGTGACCGGGAGGGGCGCGCGAGAACGTGGCGATGGCAAACGGCTAAATTTCGATAACGTGGCCGAGAGATTTTTCTTCTTCTTCTTCTTTGTTTTTTTTTCTCTGGGGTAACAGGAGCACGTGGTGGTTCTCGAGATGAGGGAGTGTCCCCGTTGCCATTGGACAGCAAATGATAGGGGGGCGTTCTTCCTTTGGCCAACTCATGTGTGTCGGATCCATCTTTTGTCCGAACGCAGGGGAATCGGGGCCAAAATCGCAAATGTTGTCCCCTCCAATTATTGACCCCCCCAACCCCCACCCTCCACCGCACCTCAGTCCAGTACTTACTGTTTAGTCATGCACACGCATGCATGTGTGTGTATATGTGGTGTGCGTGCGTTTGTGCTGATGTTCGGACAAGAATTAGAAAAAAGGGTATTTCCTCATTTCGATTGATATTGACGTGAGAAGCTTAAATCCTTTGAATTTCTTAGCTAGCTTCGAGAAAAATCGAGTTAGGTCGCTCGTTCGTCGTTCTCGGGGGTGTTACCGTATGGCCAACGTTTGGATACATTAATGAGACAGACCCCCCGCTGACCCATGTGTATAACGACCATCGATTTCGGGTGTTGATGTGTAATTGCGATTGATTTCGAAAGATTTTTTTTTTGGCAATGTGCTGATGAGGTTTGGTGGGGTATTTGTGTCGTCGTGTTGATTTTTGTTGGCAGTGAATTCGGACGAGTGCTTGTTGACAAGGATGCAGGAGATGTCGCTGGACTACCATTTCACCGTGGAGCAAGAGGTGGGGTCGGCCACGCACGCCTTCTTCGGCTTCAACGGTGAGTCCCTCCCTCCGCCCTCCTGCCTGTTCTGAAACATTTGTCTTCTTCGTCTTTTTTTCCCCGTCAGGGAAAAGGCTGATGTCCCGTGAACGGCATGGAAAAACTTTGGAACCACATGGCTTCTGAACATGTAATGTCCATTCCCAGCATGGAACTCTTCTTAGAAGCCAAAGGCTAAGGAATCAATCTTTTAACCCTTTAGCCGTTGCTCGCTGTTTCTACTAGTTGTAATTGGATTTCCCTGTCCAACTTCTACCCGTGTGGCGTTATTGATCCCTTTGTCACTATTGGGCTGTTGAATTCATTATTGGTAGTAGAGTTGGAGTGAGTGTGAAAGTTGAGGGGGGGCGGGGGGCAATGTGGTCTAACTAAAGGGGAATCCGATGCGCATGTGCAGGAACCGCGGGTGTGTGGAGGATCGGTGCCATTAATGAGGCGGGTGGGTGGAAGGACCGGACCACCGTGGAGGACATGGACCTCGCTGTCAGGGCTAGCCTCCGCGGTTGGAAGTTTGTCTACCTCGGCGACCTCCAGGTACCTATCGAGAATGCAAAGGCGGCCCCTTTTTTTTGGCAGGCCATAAATGTCGATTCTCGCATGGAGCAATGTCTGCTGCTCTCTGTGTTGAACTAGTAGAGAAATGCTATAAGCTCTTGCTCTAGGTTAATGCTTTTTTTTCTTTTTGACGACGCATGTTTATATTTAATTAACCGAGGATATTATCTAATCAAAGATGCAATTTTTTATTGGGGGGTGGTCATTGTGGGATAGGTGAAAAGTGAACTTCCGAGCACTTTCAAGGCTTTCCGCTTCCAGCAGCACCGTTGGTCCTGTGGTCCTGCCAATCTGTTCAGGAAAATGGTGATGGAGATTGTCCGGAACAAGGTCTGTCACTTTCTTGACCTCTCGTGATAAAGCGACTTTCATGGATTAAAAGCGAATCAAATTCATCCCCAGGAATTAGAAAGTTCCCATGTGATGAAGTTGAGCATCTGATCTTGACTTTTTAGCCTTATTAGTTGGTTGATTTCTCTTCGGATTTGATGCAGAAAGTCAGATTCTGGAAGAAAGTGTACGTTATATACAGCTTCTTCTTCGTCCGAAAGATCATAGCCCACATGGTCACCTTCTTCTTCTACTGTGTGGTGCTTCCCCTCACCATTTGGATCCCGGAAGTCCACGTCCCGATTTGGGGCGCCGTTTACATCCCTTCCGTCATCACCATCCTCAACTCCGTTGGAACTCCGAGGTCGGGCTCGCTTAAGTTCTCAACACCCTTTGGTGATCTTCGCCGATTCGTTGCTGCTGTTTATTGGTGCCCGTGACTCTAATTTGGTTTGGTTATTCTAATTGGGGCAGGTCGATTCACCTGTTGTTTTACTGGATCCTTTTCGAGAACGTGATGTCCATGCACCGGACCAAGGCCACCTTCATCGGTCTCCTAGAAGCCGGGAGAGCCAACGAGTGGGTCGTCACGGAGAAACTCGGAGACGCTACCAAAAACAAATCGAAGAAGCCTCGATTCACTTTCAAAATCGGAGACAGGCAAGTTGTTATTATTTTTGGCTTATCCTCTCAGTTCCTAATGCATCAACATGTGGAGTCAGCTGAACAAGCAATTCATTCACGTGAATTGCTCAGAGTAGTTGGAAACTGCATGTGATCTTAGTTCATTGTTATAGTGATATATGATACAAGATAAGAGAGGCAATACTTTACCAAACCCCACCAAATCCTATCTACAACAGAGCCCATTTATCTAGATAGTAGATCCAAACTTATTAAGTTAATCTCTAGGGGGATAAAAGTTATATGCAACAATTATCGAGCTTAACATCAGAAAGATCGGGTTCGACATTATTCCGATGAATTTACGATCACAAGTTGCTTTGCTCACTGGCTCTTGCATTTACAGACTCCATCTCTTGGAGCTCGGGTTTGCAGTATTCCTGTTCGTCACCGGGTGCTTCGACTTCTTGTATGGGAAGAACAACTACTTTGTATACCTGTGGCTCCAGACGATCACTTTCTTCATCGCGGGATTCGGGTACATCGGGACAATTGTGTAGACGTGGCGAGCCAGTTCATCATCGACGACCCAAAAGCGATGGTCATCGAACGGCCCAACCGCAAAAGGCCCAAGATTTAGTGTGTTTCCAGCATTTGTGTTTTACAGCATAGTTTATAATGAGTGGAACTATGAGGAGAAACCTCCAATTAAGTTATTGATTATTCAGATCATAAGGTCCCAAACGGTTTGTGGCAGAGAGTCCCTTGCCATGCTTCATCCCAGATATATGTTGGCTCTTTGTTTTTGGCGGGTACTTTTAGCTTTCAGGAAGGTACAAAAGGGTGAAAGAACAAAAACCAATGTTGCATTCTTTCTATATACACAATTCAGTCATGTAGGGGAATAAGAACGAGCTTGTTAATTAGTTTTAGTTGACAGAGGAATGGGATTGTTTTATCTCGATAGGCTGTACGTATCTTTCTTCGATTTTTCGATAGTCAGCCTTGTTTTCTTTGTTTCCGTGTCGTCTGAGAGGGAGGGTTCGGGAGAGAGATTGCTTCACATTTCTACTCTGGTGTTGATGCGAGTTTTCAAGCTGTAATAGCAAAGTGAAACTGTGAACTTTTCGGATACTTTACCGATGTACTACATACTATTTGCGCTTGTTTGGAGGTTCAAAAGGTTCCGATCGTATACAATGTAGGTCATTTCAAATCGACCAAGTAGTTTTGGTCGAGCTAGCAAAGTTCGTGCAGCTGCGATGCGATAGCTTTGGTGATTGCAAATTCGCCTCCGTCGCATACTGCTTAATACGCTTCTTTTAGTTTCCGATGCAATGCAATCCACCTTTTACACTCACAGAACAATGGCCACGCATACACACAAATCACAATCAAAATTGGATTGCTTTTTTAAAGGGTGATTGAAGCCTAGTTTTTTTCTGGCTTCGTAGCTAAATGAGTGCATCAGCGGTCCCAAAAGCCAATGTCCCTGCAGCTTGCAGCAAAGTTCACTTTAGATGATCATTATTCCAGGGCATATGCAATGAAGGCACAACATCATCATCCGTCCTAAGCCCCCTCAAATTCCTCCCCATCTCAAATCTGATGATTGGAAGCTGCTTTGCAAATTCCGCTTGGGATAATTCCAATGATTTGTTTGACTTTGGAGAATTTGTGAGGATGATTGGTTTTTAGCGCCCCCCTCCCTTTTTGTTCCCTTTCACCTTTCTGTCATCATAATGTTGGTACTGAAACAGAGGATTGATGGACATTTTATGGTATGAGAATTGTCCCTTCACAAGATGATGATGTTGCTCAAAGAAGCCTCTCATTGCTGGTTGGTTCCTTCTAAGGAAAGTGTCATTTGTCTTTACTAAACCCCCTTTTTTGTATTTTATTTGTTTTGCTTGAAGAGTTTCGGTCTAATCATCTCCTAAAGACCGCATGACATTATTGCGAGAATGGACGGGACGATTTGGATGCATTTGCAATGGTCTTCGGAGGATTTCTTTTCTTTTTTTTTTTCCATTCAGAATGGATTTTGCTAGCATAACAGTTTTTGAACCACTACTAGAGTAAAAGCATGTCATGAGTCAAGAATTCTTGAAAAGATTAACTCAACAACAATTTCTAATTATTTGTTAATTATTTTTTTGTAATCTAGTACATGCGATTAATCTCACAGTAAATTAATGACTGCCACTTAATCATTTTTCGATTGGGAAACTTCCAAAAGAACACGTTATGATTAGGTGTGGCTAGGAAAGAGGAATCGTCAAAACAAGGGGCTTAAAATAAGTTAACAATTGTGGCTTGTTCTTGTTTTCATTGTCCCTCCAAAGTCTTATTCCTATGGAAACGACATGGAAAGCATCTCCAAGTAACGTCTCTCTCCGCAGAAAATTATAAGCAAAAGGGGACAAAAATTTGGAAAAGAAAAAACAGGGCACACGGGATTTTTATTTTTATTTTTTTTTACATTGATGTGGTCGCCGCAGACCGTTTTGAAATAGCTTCTTGTATGACTTAATTGAGATTGGCCGAAGTATGTTTACTTTCATTCAGAATTTTAGACAATATAACTTACCGATTGATATACGCAATAAGCCTAAATCCTTACACATAATATGCCATCACCTATTTTTTTTTAAATTCATAATGAGTTTGCAAGAATTACTGCTTCTCAATTCGATTGAAATGAATGAAACTTCGTCAAATATCAGAAGGTGAGAAATTCGAATGGCATGTGACTTTGTACCTGGAGAAATGGTGGACCAAGACGTAAACACAAAATGAAACAAAGAGAAATGAGGGAGATGAAGCAAATTGCATGGAAACTCGTTTAAGAATTTAGGACGAGTTGGGTGAGGGGTCTTCTTCTGACAACTTGCTGTCTTTTGTCCCGCCGCGGTTGGGTCTTTGGGAATTAGTGATGTCTTTGTTTCTGTCCTTCATTGTTTATTGCAAAAATTCACTTTATATATATATATATATATATAATTGAATTTCTCTTGAGAAATGGGGTCGCCATATCTCTCCTGACGATCGTTTTCCCACCATACACCACAGAAATGTGATTTATTTTTATTTTTCCACTCGATGATATGAGGAGCACGGGGTTTTGGAAATTTTAGGAGACGTGGGGGGCTTTTATTTGGCTTTGCAAAATCAAATTAAATACACCAACGAGCAAGTGGGTCTTTTGTCGTTTTTTTTTTTTTCCTTCTCTAAAGTCCCAAAAGATTATACGATGAAGCAAAGAGGATTCATTCATGTCCCTGACCCGCATTCGGTTTGGAGATTGCGACGTGATCAGAAAAATTATAAGATTGTTGATTCCGGTACGACGTTCTATAGAAATGGATAGCGACCTATTCATACCAGCTTATGTAAATGACATGAACTCTGGTTCCTGATTAGTAATTGGTCACTCTCGCCATCTAACTTTCACATTGGCTTGCCCTGTGAAAATAAAACAAGATAATTAAAATATCTATTACTATATGTAAATAGAATCGATCAACGGGGCGTTTGTAGTCCAACGGTTAGGATAATTGCCTTCCAAGCAATAGACCCGGGTTCGACTCCCGGCAAACGCATGTGTTTTTTAAGTAATATATTTATTTTTATAATTATGCTGGCCAAAAAAGAAAAAAAGAAAAAGAAAATTATAGCAGTGAGCCCCCATTAGCCAAAGGCAAAGACGGATGTTTATTACTACTACTATCGATATTTTTTTTAATTTATTTTGCCAGTAAGTAGAGGTTAGAAAAGAAAAAAAAAAGGAAGGAAAAAAACAGGGAAAAAAAAAAAAGGAAAAGAGGAGGATGCTGGCTGTGGGGTTCGAACCCACGCGCACTTATGTGCAGAAGATCTTAAGTCTTCCCCCTTAACCTCTCGGGCAAACCAGCTCGCTTCTTTCAACTGTTTTCACGCAATTTTATTTAAATCAAAACAGACTTCAGTAAAGTGGCCACGCCACCCCTAGCGTCGCGCGCAGCGAGGCTCTTCGAGGCCCCAAAAGTATGTTTCGGCCCTTAAAATCCTCTGCCCGACTCTGTTAGGATAGGTCCGATCGCACGACCAAAAAGAGGTGCGTAGCCCCGCCTTTCAGCGACGACCACGGTGGGACAATATGATAGCTCACCAAATTACTAGGAACGTGTTTGGGCTTCGAGATTCCGAAAGCGAATGACTTCGACGAGACGACCGGGAGTTGTATAGCGGCGAGGATGATGAGGAGTGGGGAACGTTTTCTCCTCCAGATTAGGGAGTCGAACCTTAGAGGAATCGCCTTTTGTCACGCTGCACCACAGAATGTGCACTTGACTGCCTTCTTGTATGAACTCCTGCTCCCTCTGATCTGACCCTAGTATCTGAAATTGTACGTCACGGTAAACACACTCTTATGTAACGACGCACTTTACCACTTTCCCGTAAACTTTTATCCTATAAATTGGATTGTGTACACTACAGAGATAGCATGCGCATAGCAAGTTGCCTATGTAACAATTCGAAAGGGACAGAATTTCGATCTAGGAAAAAGCCATATGAACGATCCTTACGAGACACGTCCCCGCTTTCCACTTCTGTTTCACTCCTTGTACTTAATCTTTTCATTTTCCAGGATGTTGGCGTCAAAATAGCTCCTAAAATACGATATCCCCGTAACTAGCGATCCTATCTTCGCACTAGGTCTAAGGCTAAAATGGCACGAAAAAACGAGCACCTCACTGTCAAAGGGGTCCCTCGAGCATTCGGACACAAACATGACTGGAACCCTTTGATTGAATTTTAGCTACAATCATAGTTACTCTTTCGAACCAAACCCACATAGATTTTCTCAATCGGCACTCAAATTGACTGGAAGCCGTAATCAAGCTACTGCCATAGCAGTACCACAGGGCACCTGTGACAACAGCATTTAGACTCCTATACAATTGTGAATGTTTTCACAGCATTTAACCTCAGCCCACTATCATCAGCCTTTCTAGAAGAGCAAAATACTGACAAATTCCTGAAGAAGCAAGTTCAAGTAGTTCAACCACGGTGATTTTGGCATAAATTGAGATGAAGAGAAGATAGTAACAACTAGACAAGGGTCATAAATCCATCACAATATAAATGTACCGAGTGGAGGAAAGAGGGACAAGGTGACAACCGAATGACTAATTACTACTGATTAGAATAAAGAATCCCAGTCCAAAATCTCCATCGACCTTACAATATAATGAAAACCTACAGAGCCCTCACAACAAAACCTCCTCAAGATTCACCTCAAACAACACTTTTTGGGGGACAGAGACGAACAAAAAACATCCAACTATTTCCGAATGATTATCTTGGTTCTTTAATCTACTTGCCACCATGCTTAGCCTTTGAATGAGACTGAACAGCGACTTCTGAATTAAACGTCCTGTTTCAAACCACAATATCAGCGAAGAGAATAAACAGGAGCTCACTCAGCCCATAAAGCAATACTTTCCAGGGCACAGAGAGAGAGAGAGAGAGCATACTTGTTGCATGATTTGCAAGAGACTTGGCCAGCTGATTTAGGGGACTGCGACTTGTTGGCGCTGTTGGCAGGATTCTTCCCAGCCTGTTTTGCAGGGTGAGGAGTTGCTGTATGGCCACCTTTCTTACCATCTGAATGAATGCAAATAAGCAGTTAGGCGACTGATGATCAACTGTAAAGGAACTAAGGAAAACCTAAAGAAGTACTTGTGCAGGTTCAAGGTTTTTATACACAATGTAGATGACAGAAATTCTAAATCAAACTCGCTCCATCTTATCATAACTAACCACCAAAAGAGAGCACCTTACCATAATAAATAGATAGCTTATAGTACCAGATGGAATATATAAACAGCGAAAAAATGTAATATCAGAAAAATATTCCACCAATTAACGTGCCAACACATTCGAATAGACCAAATGACCTGTCTTCTGTGGAGTAGGTAACTTTGACTTCTTGGCAGGAACAGGTGTTTTAGTTGCAGAATCCGCAGCTCTCTTCTTGCCTATTTCAGCCTACAGGAAAAAGAAAAAGAAAAAAGAGAGATCGTGTAAATGAGAGATAAGACTTGCAAAATGGTCAAATCCATTCCTGTGAAGCATCTCGGAAATCTTCGTGTCATTACCTTCTTTGGAGTCTCTTCTTCATCACTATCATCTTCCTCCTCGTCTGAATCAGCCTCACTATCACCTCCCTGTTTAAAAAACCATATGCACATATTGAACCTAGTCTTGAATTATAATTTGTAATAAGAAAACAAAATTTGTAAAAAAGATGTCGACAGATGATCTGTTTGACAATACCTAGAAACTAGAAATTCCTCAAAAATGCTGAGAGTTTTTAACTAATATTTGCATGTTAATAAAACCTATCCCCTGAACTCAACTCCCCGATTAAACAACATTGTTGATTCCACGACCTATCCTAGCTCAAGGACACTACTCCTGAAGAAAACTCAGAACTGTACTCTGGAAAAAAGAACGCTTCATTATAATGAAAAAATAACCCCTAAGATGTACAGCTCCAAATTGTATAGAAGTGTACAGATGAAATCTAAACAGATCCTATATTCAGACAATAACGAGAAGCAATTGGAGACCACCAAAGAAAATACATTCTCAAATGTAGAATGGTCGATAATTTAGGTACCTCCTCGTCTGATTCGTCATCGTCGTCATCGTCGTCCTCATCATCCTCATCACTGTCATCCTCGTCAACTTTCATTGGTTGTGGAATGCTGGCCTTTTGCTTCCCCGATGATTCAGCCTTGCCAGCATTAGCACTGGCAGCAGTAGTCTTAGCTGATGCTTGTGCCACAACCTTTCCTGAATTAAGTTTGCACTTGCATGAGTTTATGCTACGCACTCATCTAATTTCAACAGTAACAAGATGGAATTAAAATTCTGATTCCTTAAAAGGTAGTTACCATTTTCTACAGCACTCATTGGAAGGTGTTCCTCTTCTGAATCACTCTCCAAATCTAAATATAAGAAAACAGTTGGGCAACATCAGCCACATAACTATGAATAAGTAGATTGCATTGATGAGGATAATAGATGTTAATCATACTCACCAGAAAAGTCATCCGTGCTGAGGAGAAAACCAGCGAGTCAAGGAGAAAACAAAAGTTTGAGAGGAATGCAAGCATCAGCTAATATGAGTACCACATTCTCATTGACTATCCTACACTAAAGGAGATAACTACAGAGCATGACCTCATAGCATCAACTTATAAGGGGGAAGAGACAGAGTAGATATCAAACAACCCCCCAAAATTGTCATAACGGGCCCAGCACATTTAAGTAACTGGAGTTAAAAATCTAACTATATATTGGGAAATCTAAATAGCTTGCTCAAAAGGGTTGCTTTTAGCTATAAATATGGCCTTCTACATATATAAACTGCCAGCCATCATGGTCGCTATGAGTTAAAAATAACATCAAAAACATATTTAAGTTGGAGTCTACATTGAAAGCTGCAGAAAAATAAGAATAAATAAAAAAGAAGGTACTAGAAACTGAAAGAAAATAATATAATGCAGTGATTGAGCGGCAGAAAACACAAAAGGATATTCGTCCTGTACAACAGATTTGTATCCACAAAAGTAGACACTTCCACTTTTCCAGTTGTGTGATAGTTCAAACTCTTTCTCAAATACCAAGTCCAATGATAATTGAGGGAAGTTCTCCGTAGAGAGAGTTCCTAAAACAAGCTTCTGATCACCAAGTTTCACATGGAGAGGCACAAATTCATTTCCTTTACTATTCTTGGATTCGCCAAGTGATGCCTGCAGAAAAGCAAATTCGAGTCTTTTAACAGACAACCCCACAGAAACCTAAACTGTCCAAATCCATGAGGAAATATTTTCATACCTGAGAAAGATGCAAAATTTTAGCATTGCCAGGATTGACTTTAAGGGGCTGTCCAGCCTTCACTTCAACTCCTGCAAAAATGGAAGCAAAGAAATTTAATAAGAATAATACACATATTAAACCCATGAGAATGGCTAAGCAGATGAGAGAGAGAGAGAGAGAGAGAGAGAGAGAGAGAGAGAGAGAGAGAGAGAGAGAGAGAGAGAGAGAGAGAGCGCGTGCTAACTATTCCACTACTCAGTCTCATCCAATTATCTGCATGCATTTATTCTCACTTTCGTCCAAAAAAGAATTATTACAACAAGGATCCAAACAGTTGTTCGGTTTCGGAAACGTTTGAATTTGAGAAGATGATCATTGAAGATCAAACGAATGTACCTAAGAGTGCACCCAGTAAGAACCTAGGAAGCATTGACACTCTCCAGGGGCCTCCATGTCGGCGTCGGACACGTGTCGGACACCAACACTCGTCCGACACTCTTTTTATTATTATTTATTTATTTGTGGATCTAAATCAAATCAATTTGATTGAAAATAATTATAAAAATGATAATTTATCATGCATATATAAAAATATACATTTAATATACAAACATAAAAATATACATTTAATATACAAACGTGTCCCAACGTGCTGGAATTCTCTATTTTTTTGATAAATGACGTGTCGGCGTGTCGTGTCGTATTGCGTCGTATTGCGTGTCAGTGCTACTTAGAAGAACTACCATTTACTGGTCAGCCACAAACACACTCTCATGCAACAACAAGAAGCACACCCAAAATGAATTAACACCCCTTGCATAACTACTACATGCATACTGCCTTATTTTGGAGGGAAAATTAGACAAATGCATAATCAAACTTCGAGGAGTAGCACAGAGCGCAAAGCCGGCGGCAAAAGCAAAAAAAACAGTGCTCTCCACAGCCGCAAGCGCGATGACAGCAAGTGCCCAGCAAAAGGCAAGGGACGTGCCCAATGCCCACGGTGGATATACGGAGAACGGTGCATAAATCAGCAGACCCAGAGAGCCGATTCAACATGATCGAGCTCGCAAAAGCCGGGCAGCACCACCGAACTGCCCCGAGATGCAAGTATATCCACGAGCGTCCGGACAACATGAGCAAAAGCAGCAACATGACAGAAAACTACAAGAAAATGCCGCAAAGAATACACGGAGCTCGCCGCGAGCAGCTGCGAAATGGAGGCGAAATGAAACGAAGCTCTAGCTCTGGAAAAGAAACCCCTCGAAAAGTTGCGAGAGCTTACCCCAGAACTCCATAGGAAGGGCCATCGAAAGCTTCTATAGTTCGAAGGGAGGAGGGGAGCGAGGAAGCTCTTCCGCGAGTGAGAGAGAGAGAGAGAGAGAGAGAGATCGAAGGTTTAGAGAGGAAAGGAAAACGAGGGTTTAGGAGGGGATATATAGCGGGATTTGGCTGGCTGCCGGGGAAGGAGAGCTAGGGTTTTTCGGTGCCAATCCGGCGGATACGGCGGACGAGAGTTTCGCCTTGGGTTTTGGTTTTGGGGAGTGCCCGGGTTCGGCCCAATGTGCCCTTTCTTTTCAGGCCCAGCCCAGCTTACTCCGGTGGCCCAAAACCCAATCTCTTCCCTATCACGCATCATCCATATCCCCCACTTTTACGTAATCTCGCAGCGATTCTTGCATATTCCGAGAGCATTGCTAGACCATGTTGCTTTTTCTTTTTAACCGCGAGAGAATCCGAGTTTCGAATCCGGGATTTGAGCGAGATTGCCGGCCTTTTGTGGGTTTGCTCGATTGGCGATTTCATTCGCGAACTTTCAATTGGTTCATAAGGACCTAAATTCTTTGAATGGTTGCTCCGTAGATCGTCCGATCGTCTCTAAATTCTTTTTGTATTAGATCGATTCCGACTTAAAGGAGATTAAGCTAAGATGGGAACTGAATTCCTGACGATATCGAGTTTGTTGGTAAACAAAAAAGGGTGTTATTCGAGGACAATTGGTCTTTATTTGATGTTTCGGTCATGTCGATTCAAGATGAATTAAGGCTCCGTTTGTTTCGCAGGAAACATTTTTCTCATTCTCCGACATTTGATTCGCTCAGGAAAACGAGTCGACGAAAAACGTTTTCCTAATCAGCGAAAAATCTATGCTTAAATTCATGAAAATGATTTCTTTTTTAAAAAACCAGAAAAGATTTTCTAAATGTATGATTAGGCTTGGATGCTTGGCATTGAAACTTGACGCTGGGAAACGAAAACCCCAACACTGGTTCTTGGGTCCCCGGCGATCAAGACTAGATCCTCGGGTCCTGAGCTCGAGTCCATTGAGGCCGAGCCAAGTACCCTGGTGCCCCGATGCCCCTGCCCGGGTCCATAAATGCCATGCTTGGGTCCATGATACTCGAGCTTTGGTCCCCGGCACTCAGGCCCAGGTTCACAAAGGTCGAGCATGGATCCTCGGCGCTCAGGCTCCCCGGCACTCAGGCCCAAGTTCACAAAGGTCGAGCGCGGATCCTCGGCGCTCAGGCTCGAGTCATTAGTTAATTAAATATTCGTTCTTATAAAAATATATATTTTTTAAATTCGAACTTTTAATTATTTTTCTTTTTCTTTTTCATTCTTCCTTTGTTGATGGCTGGTCACGGCGACAACCGGTGATCGACTACATGTGAGAGGTAAGCTCGCCCAAGGTCGACAAGGCTCGAGCTCGCTAAATTCCGGGTACGCTGAGCTCACCCGAGGCCGGTTAGCTCAAGTCTCACCGGATTGGCGAGTTCGAAGCCTTACCAGAGGTTGGCAAGCTTGAGGAGAAGGCGACGAGCTCGGGGCCTCGCAAGTTGGTGGCAAGCTCAAAGCCTCGCCAGTGTAGCTCGAGGCTTTGCGAGTTGCGGCGAGCTCGAGCCTCGCTAGCCTAAGGCGAGATCCTCCCTCGCCTGTCTGTGGTTGGTCGCTAGTCATCGTCGTGGCTGGCCATCGGCCAAGTAAGAAGGAAAAAAAAGAAAAGAAAAAAAAATAGAAATTCGATTTTCTGGTAATTTTCCCCTGTAAAATCAAATTAGATTTTCACATCAAATGACGTAAAAATATGTTCTAGTTCATTTTCAGGCTTCAGAAATATTGTCATTTTCCTTGGAAATGATTTCCTAGAAAATATCTTCAAGTGCTGTCACATTTTTCCGCGAAAAAGAAACGGAGCCTAAGTAAGTGGCTCTTATCACTTCTATGTAATTCGTCGCATAATATATAAAGTAGAAAATATATCTTTTTTATTCACCGATTTCATAGATTATTCTCACGACAAGCATTATTTGGATTGCTGGACTTTCTTTTGGGTCTTTAGTCGTGAGTTATGGTGGAGCCGACGACATCAGCTCATTGACGTAAAAGCATAATATATACTTTGTGTTTGAAGGGGGTTAAAGGATATTTGCATGATTTTGTGGTCACGGTGTGAGTAAAGGATTTGGGAGTTTGAATTTTGGGGGTGTTCCAAATCTTCTTCCAAACCGCAATGATCGGAGGCATAGAATTTATTCATTTGTTTATTCAATTTTGGAATTTTGATACTTAATTAATTGTATTGCTTGATAACTGTTGAGGTGCGGAGAGAACCCACGTCGTGTGTTGAAAAAGGAGAACGCACGGAGAAAATGGAAATGAAATTTGGCCTTCTTTAAAGGACAATGAAATTGGATTTTCAGGACATTGATCGTAATTTTTTTTTTTTTTTGAGAATTTTATGACTGACGATTGGACTTTGTTGATAGAAGAAAGCATCTTTTATCCCATTTTCTTTTTCAAAGAGATTCTTTAATCGGGATCTTCTCGTTCGACGAATATCCAAGAAAGGATGTTAAACTCCACCTACAGGAAAAAAAAAAAAAGCAAACGAGTGATCTTAAACAAGAACTCCAAGAGCTTAAAAACATGTCCACGCGCATATAAATTTGGGTTAATACCACGAAATACTTTAAATTAGTACACTTATGATAAATTTACCCAAAAATATTTTTTTGACCACTAAAAACGTCAAGGTGGTACACCCGTGACAAATTTACCATCCGTTATTTTCCGTTAAATTTTATCGTCAAAATATTGAGTTGGATGACACGTAACAGTTGACGGTGTGTACCAGTTTAGGGTTTTACCCCTCCGTTTGTTACGGGTTTATCAATTTATGATTTGTCGTGGCATTAATTTAATTTTACGGAGTGTAAATTTGTCACAAATATACATGTTTACGGTTTTTGGTGGTCAAAAAATTAATTCGGAGCAAATTTCTTATAAGTGTATCGGTTTAGGTTAATTTTTTCGCGGTATTAACCTTACAAATTTTACTGCGGATAGCCTTCTAACCTATAATTCTTCACTTTGGTCTCTCTCTCATATTACCGTTCACCTTTTTTTTTCATCTTTATGTCATTTCGAAAAACTTCTACTAACCAATTATCTTGTAATCGTGACTCACTCACTACTCACCAAATCCATGTATGAGTGGAAGTCATTGGTCACGAAAGCGAGTAGTGTGGTGTTAAAAAACACTCGTCCGGCGTGGGTTGGCGTTGATAAAACTTATTGAAGAGCGCCGAGGGCATGAATGTAATGAATCTCTTGTTCTTTTCATAGACCAAGAGCACGAATGCTGAAGCCCGGTCTCCAAAAGGCCAATAGAACAACCACAGATCGATCAAGTCAAAACCTTATATAACTAAGATTCAAAGTAGTTTGTAGGTAAATGATGAGAAATGAACATATAATATTCAGTCCTCGAACTGAAAATCCCCCCCGACGTCTCGACTAGTTAGTCGGACGTTATGTTTTTTTTTTTTTTTGTTTGAATATAAGGAGGAGGTTGACTAAATATTAGACACATAAAATGAGTAGATCGGGTCGGGTTTGGATTGGTTAAAATAATATGGTCCGACCCAAATTGACTAATTTCCACGCAATAAAAATCTAGTGACCCATACCCGAACCAACACATACCCATACCCGACCCGACCCGAATTACGAATACCCAAACTGAATGAGAGCGTAAAGCAAGCGAGCGTGAGATCGAATGAAGGCGAGAGAGAGAGTCATAAGGCAAGTTGAGTCTAAGTAAATCGGGAACTCAATTTAACATTTATATTATTTTGAATTTTACCATTCTAAACTCATTTACTGAATATAACTTATCTATCTAATAACTCAGATGGGTCTATAATCCTTTTCGACAGATCTACTAAATATCTACTGCAATATATAATAGAGAAGTTCGGGCAATATTTGTCAAAGAATTAGGTTGGGACTTGGTTCTCCCCCTAGATTACTACTGGAGGGTTTGGACCATCTCGACCGGGTCGCAGGCTCGTGAAACAGTCAATGCACAAGCTTGTGAAACAGTCAATGCATGCTATTAAGTAGTTCACTAAGTTTTTTCTTTCGGTCATATAAAGTTCACCAAGTTGAAAAGCAAACATCGAAAGTTACAACGATGGGAGAAATCAATTCATGACTTCGATAGAAAACTTTTTAAGTTGAGAAACAATGTTTGTTCTTCTTCGCTCACACATGATCTCTCTCTCTCTCTCTCTCTTTTCGTTTGTTCTTCCTTTCGATCTTTCCGCGATAGACCCCGAATAAAGTAAGATCAATAATTCAAGTCCAAAGTCCAAAGATTACTTTGCACTAGAGAGAATAATTTGCAGTTTGCACCCTAAATTTCATCTGGAAAATTAGAAAAAGAAATCGATCCCCCATAGAGAACTAACCAACAAATTACCAATTCAAGACTCTTATTTTTTTTGCACGAGTCCTAGCAATTGATATATGATAATAAAAAAAAAAAATTATTATAGGGAGCTGACGTTCACGATAGGGATATTCACTTCACAGCTTGAAATCCATGAACTTCAGCCAATTGAATCCGTTCCTCGACACCTTCTCCGCTTCCTTCCCGCACGAAGCCGGCGACGAGCCGCCACTTCCGGCGGCGGCGACGCCGTCCCTCGGGGGGGGCCTCTTCGCGCAGAGGAAGAAGTTCCTCGACCCCAACGCCATCAGTTTCTCCTCTCTGTCCAAACCTGGTGGGAAGCAACCGCGAACAAAAAACCCCGTCAATCATCACGCGCGATACGTACGATCAGCGATATTGCGAAAAATTCCCCACGCGAGTTGAGGATCCAACGGCTGAGAACGGAACTTACTCTCCAAGCTAAATTGAGAGTAATGGAGGTCGAAGCCGGAAGGATCGGCGGTTGGCGATATTGGCCGGCGCCCTTCCTTCAGGTACTGCCGGAGAGCCGCCGCGATCAGATCCCCGACCGTCGACTCCGGCGTCGTCACCACGTGCACGGGGCCGACGCTTCCCTGCAACGTCACGTTCAGGAGCAGCTTCGTCAGGCGCGGCTTCTCATCGGCGCCCGCCGCCGACGCGGCCGACGCGGACGCCTGGGCGGCGAGGCCCTTCCTCGCGGGCAGCTCCGGCACCGTCCTCGGCCTCGGGAGCGGCTTCGCCGCCTCCATCGCCGCGGGGCTCCTCCCGTGGAACGACGACGCCTTCTGCGACAGCAGCAGCAGCGGCGGCGGCGGCAGCGGCTTCCCCTTCCGGCTCCTCTCCTCGTGGCCTCTCCGGTGAGCCTTCGAGCTCGGCATCGCTTCTCGCGGCTCGGAAAAAAAGGACGAGATCGATCAAGGCCAAGAGCGGGGGCGAGGGGTTCTCCTCCCCGGCGCCGGTTCACCTCAATCGGCGGTAGCGGAAGAACCTCGGGCGAGGGAAACCGAGAGCTACGGCGGAGCTTGGGCTCTCAGATTCCCGATCACCGGAAGCTACCATTAACCAGGATGGTTGTGCCCGTAATTAAGGCGAATCCCGAGGGCATATGCGATTACCACTTGCGCTCGGAGACGGTGGCGGACGGCGGAGGAAAGCGGAGCCCCTGCGTCTCAATTTATACCCGCGAAAGAGATAAGAGAGAGAGAGAGAGCTGCGCGATCTTTGTTGATGGAAGAGTGACCGGCGGTACCCGGTCGATTCCAGAGGGTGGACGGGCTATTGCCCGTGCCTGGACACGCCCGTGGCGCTCGTTCGCTGCTGGGGGTCGAGCGGGCCCGCGTGGCGCGACGCGAGTGGCCTGGGGCTGGACACGTGGACGGGCGCGAGCGGCGCTGCCCCTGGTCGCGAAAGCAGACAACCAGCACCCGCTTTTAGGCGGCTTTCGTGGTGGTGGGTGCGCGGGGGCAGTAGGGGTGGGGGTGGGGGTCCGCGAGTCACGTGCTTGTCACGTGCCCGCGAGGGGCGATCGATCGTTTCCAAACATTGGGAACTTACATACGGAAGTCGTAGCAGCCGTCGTCGACCGGAAAGAATCATATGTATGTCACGTGTAATTGTTGACATAATAAACACTCGTACGAGCAGGTGGGTATTGCGGCATTTGATGTATACGAGACAAAAACTGGCGCACGCCCCCTGTTTGCGTCGAAGGCACGGTATCCTTTAGCGAAAGGCGAAGGGATAGTTCGATACGGTGTATATGAGCCCATGGAAAGAGGAGCTCGCACAGATGAATTCCACCTTCAATGGACTTTGGTTCACTTCGCTCCACCTTTCGTACAGAAGAGGGGGAAGACGGCAGGGGGAGAAAAAAAGGTCGGCATGACGACTCGAAGTTGACGCGAAACGCGAGATTTTACGAAAAGGTGATTTAAGTAGTTTGGGGGCAGGAGAACGTGCTCGACGAGCTTTGAACGCTTGGGACAGTTAAATAAGTGATTGCGTGCGCTGTTTTTTTTACTAGATTCCCGCATGACATTTGACCTCCATAGTATGGCGAATCTCGCATGTAAGAATGTTGTAGTAAAAGGTCAAGAAAGGGGAGCTTGTCCCAACTGCATTTTCATAGCTTTGTCTTGTTGGGATGTGGTCCGAGCTCGAATCTGTGAACGAAGCTCGACCCGGAACTGCGACCATGTGATTTGAGTTTGGTTGGTCTCTTGATGGACCGGATATGGTGCAACGGCGGCAAATCCTTGTTAGAGTTGGATTTCTAGTTTGATTCGGCTGAAAGGGTTTCCTTGTTTGGATACAAATATTTCATATATAAGAAGTGGATTTTGGTTTTAGCACGTTAAGGCAAATAAGATGAGCGTTAGGATTTTCTCCGTGTGTGAGTATTTTGAGCGAGTTTTTTTATCAGAGATTGTGAGATAACACTTGTGATTTACTTTGGGTATAATCTTGGCTAGGAAACACTCGAGCGATTAAACGATCGTAACTCTGTAACTTTCCGGATTGGTTTCTTTGGGGTCAACCATTTTGGTGGAGTAGATACCAACATTCCGATCGAACCACGTAAATCTCCGGTGTCATTAATTATTGTTCCTCATTAATTTCACCGGTTATTTTTGCTTCTTGCATCGGCTTCAATTTGCAAGATTTGCTAGTTTTGGAGTGATTTCACAACGCACTTGGTATGGCTCGACAAAAATTAGCCATCACTTACACATTGTTCTTCCATTTCCCAAGCCGTCAAAGTACAAACGACCTCGTGTTCGTATATAATTTCCCGTTCAAACCTTTTATTCACGTTATACTCGTTCCCCATGATTTTAGATTGTATTAAATTACATTTCTCAGTTCGCCTAACATTTCAAGCCATTAATAGAAAGAAAAAAAAAGTTGGATAGTGATCATGACTTCACCGTTTCTGTAAGAGGTTTCCCTGGACTTTTCATCTTTTTCGGCGGCCCGCCCTTTTAGGACTTGGAACGGGTAATATTCGTTGCATTCCGCAGGAGTCATCAGAATCACGTCAGCCATTTCGAGTAATCACTCGAAATGCACATGTTTGGGCAAGGCAAGCAGCGACGCCATCCCTTTCGCTGTCGATCCTTTTCGTGAGCGCGCTCTTGAAGTTAGGTCGAGAAGAACGTTTTCTGAGCAGCCCTTAATCTTTCAGTATCAATTCAGATAATCACAGATGGAGCTCTAGATTGCACCCGCACCAGATCAAGCTTCAGATGCTGAAAGAGCACGTGGAACTGCTATAAGATCTGCCGTAACCCTTTGGTATTGCGTATGGGTCAGAACTGTCATGTACGGGGGCTGCATCCGGTGGAGGCGATACCTGCATATCCAAGGCAGGGAATTTCGGCTTCTTTCTTCCATTATTTCCCCCCATTATACATGTCTACATATATCTATGATTTGACAAAGGATGGCGATCTGCGCCCCCAAAACGACACGAGAGAGGAAGCGGGTTTAACTGGTGGAGGGCGGGTCTGGAGAGGAGGAAATAGCAAAACGACATGTGAGGAAACAAGTGGGGAAAGTCTATGGCTGCTCAAGAAGACTGGTACGTTGGTTTCTTGTTCTTCACCATCATCATTTGTCGATTACTGGGTAGTGCTTTGAACTGTGTTGAACGTTACGGGTGGTGGTGTGGACTCAGCTTCCTTCCCACACACACTGCCCTACCTCGACCTCTCCATCATTGCATGGGTCCCAAAGTTTCGCGTGACGATACTTCCATGTCGAAGAAGTCGTACGTTTTGTGAAATGCATCGAGAGCCTACTTTATTCCAAGCTAAGCAAACGAGACTTTGCAGGCTTTTCTTTGCTTCGGTGGCACCGTGGGTGGCACCTTAAGGAATGTTCATAAGAGTAATCCTAGACATAATAGAATGGATGACTATATAAAAATCTTGAAAATCATTGTACGATGGCCGATTCGGTTTCAAACCTTTTAATTTGGCATATTCAGTCTTAAACCCTTATGACGATTTACCAATATAGTTCTTCTAGCCAGTTTTGGCCGGATGTTACTGATGTGGACACCAGCTATTTTACGTGGCACGGCCGGCGTAGAACTACCAGCGTTGATGTGGACAGCTTTTGCATTATTTTAAAAAAAATTATGAATTTTTTTTTGCTTGTCATGTACTTTCATTTCTTTTCCTTCCTCTGGCGAGGGCCTGTGAGCACTTTTTGTGGCCGGGGACCTCCACTGGCCATTGCCAAGGCCCCGGTGACCGGCGGAGGAAATTAGGAAAACATGGAAAAAAAAAGAAAATTCAAAAAATCTAAAATATTACAAAATCCATCCACGTCAGCACTAGCTGTACCATGTAGGATGACTGGCGCTGATTGAACCACCACATCAGTGATTTTATGCCAAAATTGGCCGGAAGAAGGACTACATTAGTAAATCGTCAAAAAGTTTAGAACTAATCAAGTCAAATAAAAAAGTCTAAAATTGAATTGGTTGTCGTCTAACAGGTTTAGAACTTTTGGAACAATTTTTTCCCTATACTAGAAAACATTTTAGGTATGAAGCGACGCTAAAAATCACAAGCATGCGTACTAGTGTGAGCATACTTGGGAGGGTTCCATTCGGGAGACTCCTCTCTCTCTCTCTCTCTCTCTCTCTCTCTCTCTCTCTCTCTCTCTCTCTCTCTCTCTCTCTCTCTCTCGTGGATAGGAATGAGAACACGCATGCGCGCCGTCATGAATTAGGAGATACCTGATCCGGAAACTTGTGTTTAATTAGCCTTCTAATCTCATTTTATTTTGGCCAAAATAAAACGATTCTGACGATCCTGCTTGACAGATACATTGCCGTGTCGGGTCGAAAAAATGAACGAACATTCAATACCGTGTGATCATGGAGCATTCGGGGGGCTAATGGCCACGCATGAGCTTATAAATCGAGGGATGTTTGGGTGCGAAATACGGCAAATCGTATTGTAAAAAGCCTATCGTGTCCATTTTATTTGTAAGCGAGACCCGTTTTGTGGGTCCCGCCTTTTTATTTATTTATAAATTTGTTGTTGTTGTGATTGACGTAGCCTGTTAGATTAAGTATGCACGGCAGCTCTTTTTAATAGTGGGAATTCGATCGATTAATCTGTTTTCCGAATGGAAAAGTCTGGACCCTTAATCCAATTTATTTGCAAATGACTAGCAGTTAAAAGCAGTGCAACGCACAAGACTCGTATCTCTTTCTTTCTTCTTTCGTTTTTGTTTAATTATTTGGTTGCTCCTAAGAGATGCCTTGCTATATTTCTTTCTTTATTGACAATTCTTTTTTTTTTTTGGTCGAAATATTTATCGGTAAATTGGAATGACGTGAACATGGAGAAACTCACAAATCTTGGAGGAAGACTAATTTAATGGTACTCTTATTCATATCCCATTATTTTTTTTGATAACCAATGACTAATATAATAAATTATATTAATTTAATAGACTCTTTTTTTTCAGTTTACTTTTGTCGTTTAATAACAACGAGCACTTCTGATGAATGTACCTCATTTAACGAGAGGACCCGAGTTTATAATACTTATCCATCGGCCATTCCTTGTTAAAAACGTGAATTTGCTTGCAATGATTAAGACCATGACTTGGTATTGTTCGTGTGGCCCCCCTTGCGAAAGGATAAGAAAAAGATGCGACATCCGAATCCCACAAAGTAATTTATGAAAAGCTGATGTGATTTTTGCACAGGAGATGAATTTTTGCTTCCGAATCCTTGAAATTCCATTATCAGCACCGATGTGCAGAGAAATTTGTATGGATATGGATGTTGGGTGAGAGCCGCACTTTCGTGGCGATGACAATAACCCGGGAGGGTAACCGCATCCGCCACGCTTATCATCAGATCGATCAGAGGCCTAAACCGTCCTCGAACTTCACGTGCTTATCGGAGGGGGTCCATCGTAATTGCTTCGATGCCCATCGAGACTGCAATAACATTTAGGGGTGGGTCTTGCTAATGCGTGACTCGACGGAGCCGGGTAATGCGAAGCTCGAACTGTCACACCATCGCCTTCGAGGAGGGGCCATTGCGATCTGTTGGTATCATGGGACATTTTACCCCACTCTCACACCGATGTCACTTCCCTTCGTCTCCTCTGTGAACGGTCCCCACCTTGTACAAATCGAAAAGGATTCTCATCTCTCTGTTTCTTGGGCCAGGCGTCCTGTTTTTGAACTCGCATGTATGCGGGTTTCTGGACGTAAATGATGATATCTATACAGAAGAATAGGGAAAAGTGCCAAAAAAGTTCTAAACCTTTTGCATTAGTGCCAATTTAGTCCTAAACCTTTTTTTGGTGCCAATTCAGTCTTAAACCTTTTGCATTGGTGCTAATTTAGTCCTAAACCTTTTTTTGGTGCCAATTAAGTCCTAAACCTTTTTAATTGGTGCCAATTCAATCCTAAACCTTTTGCTTTTGTGTCAATTTAGTCCTTTCGGCCAATTTTGACCGGAATTTGCCAACGTGGACGCCTGCTGGCCGGCGGCCGGTCACCGGCGCTGACGTGGACAACTTTAATAATATTTTAATATTTTTTGAATTTTTATTTTTTTTCCTTTTTTTTCTTTTTTTTTCCACTTTTTTTGTTTGGTCTCTCTCCGTCCTTCCTCTGGCCGGTCGCCGGTCCGGCGACCAGCCAGAGGCCGAAGGCCGGCGAGCTTGACCTCGCCGACCACTGGCAAGGGCGGCCTCGACGCGGCCTCCGGTGAGGTCGCTGGGCGAGGCTCGAGCCCTCGCCGGATCCGGCGAGGTCGAGCCTCGCCCGCCGACCTCGCCGGAGGCTGCGGCGAGGGCGAGCCTCGCCTTGGTCGGGCGAAGCTCGACCTCGCCAGATCCGGCGAGGTCGGCCGGGCGAGGCTCGACCTCGCGGATCCGGCGAGGGCTCGAGCCTCGCCCGCCGACCTCGCCGAGGCCGCGGCGAGGCCGCCCTCGCCAGTGGCCGGCGAGGTCGAGCTCGCCGGCCTCTGGCCTCTGGCCGGTCGCCGGACCGGCAACCGGCCAGAGGAAGGACGGAGAGAGACCAAAAAAAAAAGTGGAAAAAAAAAGAAAAAAAAGGAAAAAAATAAAAATTCAAAAAAATATTAAAATATTATTAAAGTTGTCCACGCCACGCCATCGCCAATGCGTGGATCGGCCGCCGGCGGCCGTCAAGGCCCACGTCGGCAAATTCAGGTCAAAATCCCACTGAAAGACTAAATTGGCACAAAAACAAAAGGTTTAGGACAGAATTTGCACCAATTAAAAAGGTTTAGGACTTAATTGGCACCAAAAAAAGGTTTATGACTAAATTGGCACCAATGCAAAAGGTTTAGGACTGAATTGGCACCAAAAAAAGGTTTAGGACTAAATTGGCACTAATACAAAAAGTTTAGGACTTTTTTGGCACTTTCCCCCAGAAGAATACGTCGAAACTATGGGCAAAAAGGCATGGAAGAAGAGCAGAGATTTGGGGGTCTGGGCTTGAATCTTTTGATCTGCTTTGGGATTGGGGGACGTCAGGCCAGAAAGGGTCAGTTTCCCATGTTAGGAAAGGCATGGGGAGTTACATAAATCTAAAACAAATTCTCATGATGTTTTCTTACGCAATTTGACAATGATGTACATTGTAATTTGTAATATGGATAAGGTTTCATCACACAACAGAACATTGGGAAAGACAGAGATATGGCTACTTCACCCACCTTTGCATATGGGAAATGATGTAAGAAAGTATACATATTTGTGGGAGTGGGTCTTTGAATCACTTGACAAGGTTTATTTGATCTTTTTCGGATTATCGATTTTTTTAATAATCTGCCGGCCCTTATTCGGGTAAAAATCGACCGACCCAAAATCAGTAAATGTTTAAATAAGAGTTGGTAATCTACAATTAGTTAGTTGGTACTAAGCTCAAATGAAGTTGGTAATTTCATGTATAAGTCGGTAATTCCGATAAAAGTCGGTAATTGTAGATTTCGTAAGTGGTTCAAATAACATCATTTAATGTAAATATAATTAATAACTTAAGCGGAAAAGAAATGACAATTGATTCGGATAAAGTTGGTAATTTGATTTCAGGGAAAAGAAAAAAAAAAAAAAAGGCATCCTGCTTTAAAATAGGCTTTTAGGAAACAGACGTGATCATCCAAATTAGTTCACTGTACAGGAAGCCTATTCATCTTCTTGATTGGGCAAAGGAAAGAGACACATCATGCGCAGAGATAGAGAGAGAATGAAGGTGGCCTGCCTGGTCGGAGGCCAAAGCATCTTGTCCTCTTCATAATGCAATTTCGGATTGACTAATGAATGACGACAATTGGTCCGAGGTGGGACTTAAGGATAGTACAGCAAGTGGGGGGGGCGGGCGGGGCGGGGCGGGCGGGCAAATTTGATTTCTCCGTTCTTTTTGTTGCTTTGTGTGGAATGGCTGCAATGCAATGCACCGAGGCTCAGTCCCCACATGAGATTAGTGTCAGATTCTGAGACCCAAAAAAGAAAAAAGATAAAAAAAACCATGTCTAGATGCCCAAACAGTTTCACAAATCTTGATGAAAGACTGAATTTACTAATCACTCTGTTGGTAATTTAATTCTTTCAGAGTGTATTCCTTGTTCAGCAGTCGACTAGTGTCGTGAGCTCGTTTTCGCGCGCCCCCGGCAAGTTCGACACTCTGATCCGATCAAAGACCGCTTACCCACGCCAGGATTAAGAATGGAACCCGAGGCCTCAAGCTCGCGATTTTTACAGAAAGTTAGCTCATTATCAGAAGACTACTCTGACACCTGCGCTGAAGGGGGAGAGAAATCTTTCACTGTGCTCCCATTCTTCCAAAGAAGAGGTCAATGAGAGGCAGCTACTTGAACTCGATTAGGGAAAACGAAGAAAACATTATCACAGACACCTCTCTGCTTTCTGCGTGTACATGAGCATAATGCCCAGTTGAATTAGAACTTAAAAAATAGGTTCAAAACAAATGGATCTAGGCCAGATCGGATGACTAACATGTGGACCATCTCGACGTGAATCCTCAATGCGACTCACACAAGTTTACCAGAGCCATGGGGTATGCCTTCAGAAAGACGAAGGCCGCGACTTTCATTAGTTTCACAAGTGATCTCCACTAGGCATTGGACATAGTGGGCGAGAGTCTGGAACGGAAGACAACAGATGAGAGATTCTTTAAATTACATAAACTCTACAAAGCAAACAAAAAAAGATATCAGATTTCATGCACGCCCAGGGACAAATTACCTTCCGGCAAAATACTATTTCGACTCCACTCAATTCATGTATTTCTCTCAATCGAAATAATACAACTCGGCGAAGCCCTCTCCATTTTTCTTTTATTTCCTTCGCTTGCCTAAAACCAGGAATAATAGCCAATGTTACATAACTAAATTGACCTTCCAAATGTAACATATTCATGTCAGAAAAAAATATTGCGGAAGAGATGAACAAAGCTCACTTCATACCATTATCCATGTATGATTCCGAATAGTACAGCGAATTATGTAAAGACAAGACGCTGCTTAAGTCATCCTTTGGTGCTTTATGCAGCCAAGCATGCCTCCAACTTCTTGGCTCCTTCAGATTCATCTTGGACTTTCTAGAAGCTGGACGAGGCGAGAGGATCCTTGATAAGGAATGCAGTTGAGCTGCACTCCCCTTAGACGGTCTTCTTGCTTGATGCTTTCGGTGTTCTTGCCTCCTTGCTCTTAATCTCCCTTCCTTGCAAAGATTTGGCGCGTAACTGAGGTTGTGAGGAACTTGATTCAGGCTACAACAGGCCGGGATGAGCAATGCCGGAGTTGCCTTTACCGAGGATCTGCTCTCCTTCCACGATAAAAATGAGTTTTGCAGCTTTGAGGAAACCTACAGAGGGAAACAAGAGCAACTGGTTAAAGGACATTTGAGTTCGTGACAAATCAGACAAGAGTTAACAAAAGAAATTGAGTATCTACATAAATTTCCACCAAAAAGTTCTCACAAATCAATGCCCGCATTTCTTCCACTATAGACGTTCACATGGCTATTGCGGTCAATATACCAACAAACCAGGGAAATAACATCCACATGCTCTCCAGGAAATGCTCATGCATTGAGACATAGTGGAATGGTTATACAAATTTCCCAAGTCAAAACACCTCGAAAGCCTATGTTGGGTTATCAAACTTAAATTAAGACATAGGGTTCATGAGGGTAATCTTGGAAACTTGATACTTACAACAGAGACAAGGCCACATGAAGCAAATCCCAATGAGGAAGTAGAAAATGGCGACCCCCCAGGCTTGCTGACTTTTTGGTCATTCTTCGATGAGTCCTGATCAACAGCGACAGAACCAAAACTTGACTGTTCAACGTGCTCGTCTTCATATTCATCCTCTTCCTCTTCTCCTTCTGCTTCCTCTTCCTCATCAGCAGCCAAAGTTTTCTCATTGTTTTTGGCCGACACAGAAGAATCCACTTCCACTTCCTCCCGCAAACCCACTTCATTATTCTCTTCCTCTTTCTCTCTCATCTTCAACTCCTCATCCATGTCCTCAATGGCCTCTTCCAAGCACAATTCTGCTTCGATGAGGTCAAGCTCCTTCTCAATCAGCTTAATCTTCATTTCACTGGCTCTCTTCTTCTCCTCCGTCCACTTCTCTAGTCTGTCGAATGTGGGCTTACATGCATTTTCCATTGCCATGATAATCCTTTTCCAAAGACTTTCCTTCTTGACAACCTCTTCTTTCCCATAGAACTCATCAAAACCAAGGGGTAGAAATTCTATCTTCTCTGGGTCAAAATCTTCCCCTTCTTTTACATCTGGCTGCCAGAACATGCGGATCCCATGCTCTTCATCTTCAACATAATTAATTATACGCCCAGTTGGAGTGTGAAGGATTAGGGGATCTTCTGTGTATATAAGCTTTGATGGATCTTGCGGATCAGGTTCTGGTTCCTTATTGATCAGAACAAATTCTGGCGTATGATCTGATCAAGCAAGTACTAGGCATGTCATTCAAGATCCACGTATTTGTTCTTTTCAAGCTAGAGATCCAACTTCAAGCACTCAAAGAACAAGCGAAAAAATATATCTAGGCTACTCAGTGAGAAGAAGGTTTTTATTTTTGCTAGCTTAGCTACAGCAATCACAAAGTCCAGATGACTCGTTCTAAATAAGGATCCAAGAGTTTGCCCAGAAAAAAAGAGTTATGCAAAAGAAGCATATCCTAAGTTTATTACATCTACTTCACTTCTGCTCTTCTTTGTACCCAAATCAAATTTTTACGCACTCTAGAGTTTGTTGGCAGAAACGGGCATTTCTCACTGATGGGATAGAATGGTGGAAAATGCTGCCTAAACTTTCGGTTCCACTTCATTATTCCCAAGCCCAACAAAGTTTAAAAAGAATAGAAACTAGAAGGGTCATTCCTTTCTTGCTCCATTCCCCACGAACGTATGCATGTAGAGAGACCGAAGGAGGAATGTCTTGAATGCATACCTTTTGACCACCAATACTCAAGCTCAGCGGGCATAGGCAGCCTCAGTGGTGCTTTGTAGAAGGAATTTAACCACATTTCTCTTTCCTGATCCACTTCACCAACGTATGTTTTCCAATAATCGGGGACCTGCCATTAAGAGGCACAGTGAAACCCCATCATAAAAATATGCTCTGAATCCACCAATACATTATAAAACTTACTTCATAGAACTGATTGATGAAGCCAGGGGCCATCCACACATCTTCTTCCTCATAAAAATAAGGATGCTGGGGATCACCATAGGGACCTCTCTCTTCTCTGACCACTGCCAGCAGAAAATCAGAACTATGATGTCGAAGTTTGATTTAAGGGCAAGTTGACACCATCGTACTTATACAAAAGCTGCTCATTAGTAGGGAAAGACTTTTAATAAATCTAGCTGAAAAACGGTGTCGTGAGTCCCCGTTCTCAAAAATTTTAAGTGCAGTACCAAGCAGGAGCATGCACTCAAAAGACAATGGTGCGACATATTAAAAATAATCCCGCAAACCAAATTGCGGATCTATTAACAAGAGAACCTATGATTCAAGGATGATGTTTTTCCAGACCCTTGAGTTTCCAGAGAAACATCAGCTCAAAGACCTTACAGATTACAAGTATTCAATTCAAGAGAATAGGAGCATCCTTTCTCAGATCTCCAACCACGATGGTATGGTCATGTTTATTCCAAGTAAATCCAGGAGCATATCAACATATAGAGATATCATCAACCGGTATTGCTCGGGCAAAACTTAAAAATGAATAATATGAGAGTGCAGCAATCTGCTGAAGGTTAGAAGGTTCTAGTCCTCACATTCACTCTGATGCAATTTTTACTTTTTCTAAGTCAAATTCTGACATCAATGAATGTTGTAGGGTTCAAAAGACATACTTCCATCTGGCTTGTTGATAAACATCCTTGCCTTACCAGCAGCTACTTCCGCTAACCCATAATGAAGCTGAAAAGGGCCAGCATGTAAGAGTCACAAATGTCACATCTTTACTCAGACAGCTAAAGAACTCAACTTCAGGACATACCGCTGAAACATCCTCATCACAGCCATACTCATTGTCTAATAGCTCCCCAAAGTAAAATCTACCCTGCATACATTCATAATGCAATATTGCTCATTCTATCCCACACAGTTGAAGCTGAAGGAAAACAAAAAAAAAAAAAGGCGATTATGACTTTTCAAAAAGATAAAAATTAGTAAAGCACACGACAGCCACCCAGATTGCAAAGCTCTTTCAAATTTGGAATGTTAGTAGTAAGTTATGACTTGCTCATACTCCATCTATACTGTCATGCACTATAGGCCAGAGCTGTTTCACAATAGAAATTCGTCTTCTTCTAAAATACAAATAAAAAAAGAACTCGAACCTCATAGCATATGCCATATATAAAGAGTGTTTTCCTTGTTTTTACCAATAAGAGGTCATCATGGCATCTAAGTTGCTCACTCAAATAATCCATTGCCATGACATGGTATTTCCACAAGTAGCAAACATCTCTGCTGCACCATGTTTGGAATTGGAATAGATTCACAAAATAATGAATGATGGTAATGCCAAGATTACTAGATAGTGCATTGACTCGATTAAATGGAGTGCAACACGGATACGGTCCTTGACTAAATTCCAGTACCATATGAGGAGATTTCTTGTGATCATGCAGTTGGGATCAGACAGATTTTAACTGCTATTCGAGACGATCAACGTATTGAAGTATTACTAAAAGACCATAATCCCACATTAAAGTGAGAAAATTTTTTTAGTTGAGATATTTCTTGATATGGAATATCCCCGAGAATAGTATGTCTCGAGAAAGTGCATTGAATTTATCTATTGATACTGGTGCTTTAGATAATTAGTGTGCCATTAAGGGAAAGCTGTTCCAATTGCAGATTGCTAGCGGATAGTGTATTCTGAATACCTGACGCGGATAGTCAAGCCAATTAAAGTATTTGCTAATAAGCACACGCCAATTATATAGCTGAAAAGTAAATTAATCTTGCTACACTAAACTTGTCCTAACAGACATACATAGATTGTACGCTCGTTGACTTCATAAACACCACACCCATGCATCCTTCCATGCTTCCATTGGCCAGCATACCGATATCGACCTTTTTCCCTGGCATAGAAAAAAATATAAGAGTACCAGATTAACAGTAGAAAACTCTTGTACAATGTGTCTATCTGGATGGGTCAAGGAATCCGGTCATAGGGACCTCCATCACAATTAATCCGATCCCGCAAAGTGACTATTCTAGTTTCTAGTACAATGGGAGTAAAGTAATCTAAACAATGAGAACTCAGAACAAAATCAACTTCTTTCATATCTCAACTTGAAACATTTAGTGTTGGACCGAGAGAGAGAGAGAGAGAGAGAGAGAGAGTTGGACACTAGGACTTCATCAGAAAACATATAGACAACCGCGGTGTAGCAACTTATGGAGCTTTTGAAAAATTGTATATGAAGAAGCAAATAAAAACTTACGGTTTTTGACCAAATTGTCTGATCCACTCATCATTTTCATAGAAAGGGACTTGATAGTTATCCCCAGTCAAGCGAATGCTATCTTCTATATCCATTTCCAGCCACTCCCTGTCTTCTGGAGACATATAATCTCTTTTTATGATCTTCCCTTCAGCACGCATTTTCTCTTCTAGCCTGAGGAGAATGACATCATCTCAACTTAATACTAGGAGAATAATCACTACATTTTTCATTGTGGAGCTGCAGTAGGGGAGTCTATATACAATTCAAAACCTACTTGGAACCTGGAATAGGTTCAATGTCAGGTATATCCACTTCAAGGACTCCATGTCCTTCCATATTATTTTGAAGCCATTCACCTTCATACCTACAGGGGAAAAAGTAAATAACAAGATCATTCCTCCAAGCTATAAGGCACTTTAAGCCAAGGTCAACTTGGATAGTTCCTTCTTCTTAAACCCAAAAAAGGTGAAAAAGAAGCGATTTATGGAAAACTTGACCAGTAATCTCAGGGAGAAGCAAAAAGATTATCTTCCTCCAATATCCAGATCTTTAGAAAACTCACATGTCATGGTTGTAGATAAGCACATGTTAGTTTTAGGGTTTCAAGTGAAGTCTCCTAGATTTCAAGCAAATCACACAACTACAAAGCAACATTGTAGCCGTTAACAAAAGAAACCCTTACAGACTAATGAACTTATATTAACGATACAATTACTTCTACTTCGACTGCTAAGAAAAATGCAGCTTCTAGCTTTGTAAAGAATGGAGAGTTCTAGGTCAACTCCTAAAAAAGGGAGAACATCATTAACAAAAAATATATATCTTTCACGACTGATGCTTGATTAAGCATATGGCAAAAAGTATCAGCAAAAACTGGTGACAAGAGGTAATAAACGGAAATATGGGATCATTCTTTTGCTTGACACTGATATTACCAATAGAACATTTCTGATCAGGAAGGCCAACAAGCCACACTATTTAAGAAATTTATAAACCAAAATTCACTGTGCCAGATAAAGCAAGTGAATAGCAATACTATATTCACATTATTGCCAATGGCGAGTCATGAACCAATCAAATTGTGAATTAATGAATCAAATGATAAGGTAGAGAACTTTGAACTTCTCATGGCCTTTGGAAACTCTAAGCATCTAATGACATGTAAAGCATCCATATTAGTGCTACCGCCTAGCATGTGAAAATGAAGAAGAAGCAAACCTAACGAGCCCCATTTCGGCGACATAGACACCTTTTCCATGGGCCAAGTCATCCCAAACCGTTCCTTCATACCTGAAAGGAAGTACAACAGGCAATGGAAAATGAGTCGAAGCCAAAAATGGCTTAGCCATCCAGAGCACAATTTTTGCATATCCTATCAACATTGTGATTAAAATAGAAAAGAAACGGTAACGTGGTTGCAGTCAATTGAAATCTACACCAAGCATGACAGTGGAGTGAGAGCAAACGTATAGACTAACACATCGATGATTAATCCTGTTATCAAGCATAGCATGAATAAGTGACATACTTGCGAACAGTTGAGAGAGATACTGCAGAAGAACAGTGACTCCAAAAACAATCACATCCAAATCAACTGAATAGAACTTTACAAATTCATAACAACCACCAAGCTCGATCTTCCGAAACCACTGAATTTAACATGATACAGGCAGTTGCAGAGACTATGGCGTGGAAGGCAAAAACAGCAGGTAAACACTGCACTCACTAAACGTATCAGCATCTGTAAATTTGAATTTTGAAATAATTATGTAGAAAAGACCATATAGGATCAATTTACTTAAACTAATAAAATTACTGCTCATGCTCAATCTTTCAAACAGGGACAATTTTAATGCCAGTCAATAACTCACTCCTGCAATCAGCATACTCATCTTTCAAAGACTCGCTACACTAATGCAATATGAGCAATTGAACAAAAAGGATACAGAGAATGCTACACAACAGACTAACCAGAATACAATTCCGTACTCTAAGAACAAAAATCCCGACACCCACTAACTGTATCTGCATTTCCAAAAGCTGAATCTCTAAAAACAAAAAAAAAGAGAAGAGCAAAAGAGCACATACGAGCTGCCGTCAGGGAAAATGTAGCTGACCCATGTCAGGAACTCCTCAATCCGGTCCAACTCCTCAATCACCTGCTTGGGGTTCGATATGTCGTAATGGTTGTCCGGTATCGCCGGGTACGGCTTCCGGTACGGCAAGTAGAACGGGGCTATCGCCGGTTCCCGGCCTGCCTTGATGTCCTCCCTCACGATGTCCCAGTCCTCCTCGTCGGCGAACGCCGGGTCCCACCCTGGCTTCGTGGACTCGAGCGGCGCGTCCGCCCACAGCTCCCTCAGGTCCTCCTCCCGCCAGTTCTCGGGGTCCTCGGGGAAGTCGAACAGGTCCTCGTGGAAGACGTAGTTCCTGTCCTCCTCCTCCTGCTTCCGCCGCATCCGCCGGCTGTTCAGGATCTCGGAGAAGCGCCGGAGGTTGGCCTCCGGCGTGTTGTCGGACTCGTCCAGGTCGCCGTCCGAGGGCCGGATGTAGGTGAGAACGTCGTCGCCGGCGGCTCCCGAGTCGGGTCCTTCCCCACCTCCTCCTCCTTCCTCCTCATCGGAGTCGGAGGAGGAGTCGTCGGAGTCGGAATCGGAGTCGGAGTCGGAGTCGGACAGGCTCGCATTCGGGTCATTTTCTTTCGGGGCGGCGTCTCGCTCCTTGGATGGCTCGTCTTGCCGTCGCCGCGAGCCTGAAGGGTCCGAAGAGTCGTCGCTAGGCATTGCAGAGGAAGAAGAAGATGAAGATGAAGATGAAGATGAAGAGGATAAGGCCGCGAACGATAGAAACGAGAAGTGAAGTAGGGAGGCGGCTTGAGAGATTTTGGTGCGTCTTTGTCCTGACCGGAGCAGGAGCGGTCATTTGGTTTAACAACGACGGCTGATGGTTTCTAGTGTCTTTTCTTGGAGCTTTGAAGAAGGCTAAGATGGGCTTTACACGCGGACTGGGCTGTGACTGTGGGCCGAATAAGGGAAGGGAATATGATACCAACAGTTTAATTGGCCCGATGTGCAGTGTGATCCGTGAAATTTTAATTCATTCAATGTGGCCCATGAACTTTAACTTAATGTGTAATGTGATCCCTGAACTTTTAATTTGTTGAATGTAGTCCTTTAAATTTTTGTAAATGTTCAGTTTAGTCCCAAAACTGTGTGAAATTTTCAATGTAGTCGTTCAAATTAATTCAAGTTCAGGAACTGCATTGAACTTGCGCCAAAAGTCTAAGGACCACATTAAACAAATAAAGAGTTCATGGACCATATTGACTATTAAGCTGAAGTTCGGGGACTACATTGAACAAATTAAAAGTTCATGGATCATATCACACATTGGGCCAAAATTCAGAATTATTTGTGTCATTATTTCTAAAAAAACAGGAACAAAATTGAAGAAGTACAGCTTTGGCTTGACTTTAGAGCAATAAACTGGGGCAGGAAAAAAAGAATTAGATTGTCTATGTAACAGATTATCTGAACACCGTTATCTTCCTTTTAAATGAAATGCTTTTGTTAAGATTTAGTTACATACCGTCCAAGTTAAGATTAACCGTAATCCGCGGCAACGGAATTTGGAGCCACACCATCAAAGAAGTCTATGCCCCTGCCATTAGGCTATTGATGTTTTATCCATTAATATATATATATATATATATATATATATATATATATATATATATAGTTATATAGTGTCTATGAGTATATAAATTCGGTGAGTTAATGGTATTAAACTGCTCTCGTCGATTGACACGAGTCGTTATGTGGCATACGCTCACGGGTTTCTCTCTTAGTATCATACATTTGTGGGGAGAGGAACATCAGAAGTGCCAAAAGTTGTGTATGGCGCTCACTTTAATGCTAAAAGTTTTCGCCGGCTCACTTAAGTGTCAAATCGGAGAAAAAACGATTACTTAAGTGCCAACGACGAAAAATTCCGGTCAAATTAATTACTTGGCCTTTATAATTACAAATTTATGTTGACGTGGAATATCATTTAAAAAAATTTCTCCACGCGGACGTCCAAAATGACGCCGCACGCTCCTACATGGTGGATTGCATCAAAACGACGTTATTTCCTCTCCCTCGCCTAGACGACGTCACACGGCTTTAAGATCTTTTTATCTCAGATCGATCGTCGTCGACATCCTCTCGGCATCAACATCACTCGTCGTTGCTCATCGTTGTCGTCGCTCGCTCGATCACCATTGTCGCTCGCCGTCGCATCTCTGCAACCCAGGTTTGTGATCTTCTCTTCCTAGCTCAGTTGCTGGAAAAATTAGGGCTCTGAAGGGAAAATTAGGGGTCCGACGGCAAAATTAAGGTTCAAAGGGCAAAATTAGGGCTCGTAGAGCAAATTTAGGGCTTGGGAAAAAGTAAGGTTATGATTGTGGGTGGGGACCTCAATTTCTCTAATCATGGTATCCTCTTCTTTCGTGGAGACGATGGTACTTGCAGCCGTGGGGATCTTAATTTGTTTAATCATCACATCGAATTGTTTGATCACAGTATCAACTTGCAGCCGTGGGGTCCTCAATTTGTTTAATCACGGTATCAATAGTGATGTTGCGATTGTGGGTGGGACCTCAATTTGTTTAAACAATTCGATGTTGCTTTGTTTTCCACTAAACAATGTATACACTTTCTTTTCCACTAAACGACAACAGTTGTTGACAATATGATTATGTATTTATAGCCTAGGAGAACTTCAGAGTGCTTATCTCTCAAGATGGCCTAAGTCAAGAGTCAAGGGCTGCACCCGAAAGAAGAACCTAACCAAGGTTAACTAGAGCATAATCCAGTAAGAAAAGTGCTTTAAAACAAATGACACGAGCGGCATGTCCAAAGACAAGAGCATAGGCAGGGCCAACGACAAGAGCACAGGCAAGTCCAAAGACAACAGCACAAGCAGGTCCAAAGACAATAGCACATGCTAAAAAGAAAAAGCCAAATGTAGTTTCAGTACAACAATCTCCAAGTCTAGTGCAACAATCTTCAAATCCAGTACAACAACCTCAAAATCCAGTTCCAATTAGAAAGAGTGCAAGGATTCAAGCTAGAGGTCCATCTAAAGGGATAGAGACTGGGGGGTTATGCACATTGACGACTGATGGGAGGGGGTGCTAGATATAGTAATTTTTATTTTTTGTTGGGAGGTTGTGCTGGATATGGTAGTTTCTGTGTTTTGTTGGGAGGTTGTACATATGGTAGTTTCTGTTTTTTATCGAGAGGTTCATATGTTTTAGTCGGTTATTCAGATTGGCCCAATGTAAAGACAATGTTCAATGGACCGATATTTATTTTGTCTATGTTTTTGCCATTTCCATATGTTGCTTTTGTGCTGGTTGTGTTGGTGTTCCTAGTTGTGCTGGTTGTGCTAGTTGTGCTAGTGTGTTTGACTGGGTTGTGCAAGTTGTGCTTGATTTTATGTGGTGGTGCAAAGTATTGTGCTTGCACTAGCAAGCATAAGATTGCACCGGTAACTTGGTGGTGCTGGTGGCCGAGTGGTGGTAGTGGTGGTGGTGGTAGTGGTGATGGTGATGGTGGTGCTGGTGGCCGAGAGTGGTGCTGGTGGTTTTGGCTGGTGATGCGAATGGTTGTTATGTTGTATGCCGGTGCAAGGTTATGATGAGGCTGATGTTGTTTTTGGAAGTGATTGGCTCATGTTTTGTTGCTAGTTGGAAATTGTGGGTACTGGTGTGTTTGTGGGTGCTGGTCAGTGTTTGCACCAGCAGTTTTATGTGCCAGTGCAAGCATAAGATGCACCAGCTGTGCTGGTGCAATGTTGGGTATGCACCAGCACTTTTTAAACCATAACTGACATTTAAATGATCATTTTCAACCATGAGTGACACTTAAGTGATCACTTTCAGAAAACTTGGCACTCAAACGATCATTATTTACAATTTATGGCACTGAAATAGTCACTTGTGAATTTGTTACCACTCCTTAATTTAGCCATGGTTTGCAGCAATAGTTGTAGCAAACCAGCAAACCATTACTAAACAAAACATGCAGCAAACCATTACATGTGGAGCAAACCAAACATCTGAAGTAAAAGCTAAGCAAATTAACATTGACAATATACAACTGAGCAAGAAAACTTTTAATTACTCACAATCAATGAAATCCGACTTTCCATTTCCACCATATACTGCAGCAAACCTTTTGTTCATTACAACAATTGCAGCAAACTAACAACACAACTATACTGACAAATAGCCCAATATAAGTACATATTCCACTAATCTTCGACTATGGTAGACATACAAACTTCTTCTCATTACTTACTTGACATTTGACCATAAAATAGGCTACACAAGAGAACAAAAATACTATCAATGCTTGATAAAAGTTTTTTTCAATTTTCAGCCTTGAAACTTTCTTCTTCAAATGGTTGGCCAGACATGTTAAAGCCTTCATTTGAGATTGCATTGAGTCGACATCCTCCAACACGTCCATTAATGTAAGTGGGGGTTGATGTTATCCTTCAAGTAGCTCCAAGATCACCTCCTTCGCTCGATCGGAGAATTTCGTATCATCCCATTCGAAATATTTGCACTTCGAGTCTTCTCTATCCCTGGCGCATCTATAGAATCTTTTCCCGGGATTCAACCGAGTCCAAGATGTTCTTCTTGGACTTGGTAACCCATAATAACAGTAACACTCACCGTGTAGTTCGCTTTGTTGGGACGAATGTAAGCTGTTGTAGAAGCTCATGCCCTCTATTTGCTAGAATGAGCTGGTAATTTTAGGGGCGAACTAAAGTAGATGCTCAAATTGGCCAATTAGGGTTTTCAAATTGGGGTTCTCTTTCAATTTGGGGATTTAGGGTTCTTATTTGGGGGAAATCCGCCGAACGACGTCGTTTTTATTGTTGATGTGTTGATTGGACCTCCGGCGACCCATGTCGGCTTCAAAAATTAATAAAAAAAGGCCACGTTGGATTTCCGGCTAATCAGATCGGAGTTGGCACTTAAGTGATCGTTTTTTAAAAAATTTGGCACTTAAGCGATCAAAAAGAAACTTTTGACACCAAAGTGAGCATCGTACATAACTTTTGGCACTTGTAGTGTTCTTCTCCCTACATTTGTGTATTGGAAGAGATGGCTCGTGACTTTTTTTTTTTTGATAATCCGGAAACCCCCGCATGGCTCGTGACTTTGCATGTGCATATATTGTTTTTTATGATTGTCGTTTTGAAATTACTTTATCTATAGTTGGATATAAAAAAAAATGGCATGGAAATTTAGAAGTCAAGATTAAGTATAAATGGATGCATATAAAACTAAAAAGATCAGTTTAAAAGCTCTTGGCCTATTTGCAAACTAAAATGTTTTTGATCTCCAGTATGCGCATTTCATTATCCCCCTCATATTTGTTGCATTACTAATTTTGTTGTGCTCATGAAATCGGCCAAATTTTCTCATTATGTTCGCTTTACTCACATTTAGTGAAACGGGTAATAATTTCACCATCGAAACGAGTAATAATTTAATGTAGGAATAATTTCCTTGGCGACGACACCTATTTTTATTTTATTTTATTTTTCTCCCCTTTTTCCTTAAAAGGATATTTCAAAAAAAGATATATCTTTTTCCACTCAGATACACAAAGATTACGTCCGAGGTTTTTCCTTTCCTCTTTCGCTTCCCATGCAAAGTCAATCGATAACAGCGACCCTCTCTCTCTCTCTCTCTCTTCAACAGAGAAACAGAGTCCCTCAAAAATCAAAACTTTGGTCGTCCCACGTCAGTCCATTACAGGCCTGAGCGAATCAGTGTCAGCCCGTCGCCATCATCTTTGCGTGTTCTTGATACTCAGGCGCAGGTTAGCGTCGCGCACCGGGTCCCGCGAGATCGCAGCAGGATTTTCTTCTGCAAATTCGATTTGATTCAGAGCTCCTCTGCTTCGGTCAAGTAAAGCCCAGATACGGAATCTTGTTCGACGTAATCTGCAGGTGAGCGAGAGCTCTCGATAGTTCCTTTTTCTTTTTGGCACGTCGATCGTCTGGCGATTTAGCTTCTAGCAATGCACGCGGGCGCGAAAGCAGTGATTTTTTTCGTATAGTTGGAGTGCGTTCTTTTGGCTATTGTTCTCTGATTCGTGTGATTTTTCTGCCTATGATCATCTCGCCGTGTTGTTTGTGTTCCATACCTGACGAATTCCTCTTCAAAAAACCTTTTTTTCTTCATTTCCCGTTTATCCGCTTCTGTTCTGAGCGAGAGTAATGCCAATGCGGCTACTGGGTTGTCTCTGCCGTTAGGTGGTATTGCAGTTGTTTCTAGTCCTGCCTCTTAGGTTAAGTTTCAGCGGCTTTTGGTGGTTTTGTGCACTGATTTGATGGAGGAATTCCAGGGTTAGGAGAAAGCAAAAGTCATGGGAATCGACAATGCGGTCGAGATAGGTTCGAAGGGACGTGAATCCTGGGAGCCAATCACTCCAGAAAAGGTAAATAAGGTCTATGTTAGACGGCGATCGGGGGATGATCTCAGTTGCCAGAGTTCTCCTGGGGGTGATGCTGTGAGGATTGGGGATTTAAACGAAGATGTTAGACAGAAGGAAGGGAGCTCTAACGTTGCCGGGGTCAACTTATTAGAAGTTAATCATATTGGGGATGCTCGCGACTTTGTTTGTTTCGATACTAATTGTTGCGCAGATTCGTTCGAGCATTTTGATCGGCGGCGAGAAGTTCCGGAGGTTGCAGGAGATAAGGATGTTCCTTTCGCCAATAGAGGGGCGGCCGGTTCCACGGATGGCTCGGGTTGTTTGGGGTCCAATTTGGCTGCACCAATGGCTGGTCAGCAACCGGTAGAGTTGCTGAATTCAGCCCACCGAGGAAGTACTCCAGTTTTCAATACCAACATTCCATTGTCGAACGGTAAGCATGCATGCCTATGTATTGCCACAGAGTTACCGGTTTAAGTTTAGTATGTTCGAGATTATAATCTTTACGACGAGACAATCATTTAGCCAAAAGATATGAAAATAAATAATCATTTATTAGTTATGATCTCAGCTAGTTGCATGTTAATTTGAATATAAAAAAAAGGATAGACAAATTTTCGGATGCTGTTCGATCATTGTTATTCTATTTCCTATGTGCATTTCCTATATGCATTAGTGCTTTCAATTACGTGGAATGATCTTTCCGAACTCCTGACTGCTCATGACAAGCCGACAGGTCCGTCTATTACGTCAACTCCAGTGCAAATCCACGAGCCCGAGATTGGCATAAATCCGAATAAGAGGCGACGACAACAGAAGCCGAAAAGGAAGAAGCATACTCCTAAGGTAATTCGTGAGGGAAAACCTCGTCGAACTCTGAAACGCAAAAATTTGGGCTCAACAACTCCATTACCGAAGAAGAAGAAGCAAGCAAGAGAAAAAATTGGCAATGATTCACGCCCATCAGTAGGAGACATTAATGAATCACCTGCATTAAAGGATGCTATCACGGAGAAGAAAATTAGCCAAGTGAAATCATGCAGGAGGCATTTGGATTTTGGTGCAAATCATACTGAAAATGGAAAAGTTACAGATCAGTACTGTGGAAATGATTTATTAGCAGGTCTAGTTCAGTCGACACGGGACAGCTATATTGCTGATCAAACAAGTAGTCAAGTGCACCTTGGAAATGGTCTGGTGCAGTCGAAACGAGAGAGCTATATTGCTGATCAGACAAGTAGTCCAGTCCTTCCATCGCGCAAGCCGGTCAATAGGAAAAGCCAGATTCTCAATAGAATCAGAAGAATTGGAAAGAATTTTCCCAAGAAATTCAAGAAGAAGAGGACAAGAAGGAAGAAAAGGACATCGATGGAGAAGATGACGTATATGTTATTTGTTTTATGTCCAAGAGATTTCTATGTTTCATATCCAAGACATTTGAAAAAGAAAAGAACGATGAAGCGGATGAGGCAGAAGGCAAATCATATCGAATCTACTGTCGAAACGCAAAAGCTTGAAATTCCTGTTAGTCATCATGCACTTGTTGACGCTAATGCAATTGGTTTCGAGTTTGAAGCAGGGCATTTTGCTAATATCTATCAACAGACATCGGATGGCACGGGAAAGGGGAACAAGAAACGTAAAGGTAGGGCAAAGGGGCAAGAGAAGAGTAAAGGTGCGTCCGATTATAAAATAAGAAAGTATGATAGAATAGCCTTTGATAATTGCCACACCCTTTTATATTAATGTACATGATTAATACATGTAGCATGTTAAGAGCTTATAAACTTAATTATGTCGATTAATTGTGTCGACGTAACTTGAAACAAGTGATAATAACAATCTAAATTAATTATTGAAAATCTACCCTTTATTTTTTTATCTGTTATTCATATAATTTTTTTAACTATTATTAAATAAACACTATCCATTATTGTATGGTGCCGTACTTAATTTCTTTTTAATAAGAGTTATTAGTTAATCCATGTAAATATGGATATAATTTATATCACTACAAAACAATTATACTTTCTTTAGAACATTTCATTTTGAACATGCAAATATAGAAACGTAGGTTTATAAAGTAGAGATAATCGTAAAGAATTTTAGGAATTCATACAATAAATTTATATATAACAAGAACAGTCAAATAAATACGATACAATGAAAAACAAAATAATAATAATATAACGCTCGACATAACTCTTAAGCTTTTTTGTTGGTCTTTTCCTTATTATAAGGAGGTCATTGTAAAATTGTATAAATATTTTATGCATGTTATATTGTTTTACCATGTCATGTCAATATATGAAATTTGATCAAGTAAATTTCTGATTCTGCGTTATGAGTAAATCGGATTTCAGAAGTGCAGAAAAGCTCAGATAGGATCCTGTCTGTGAGATACTATTGCAAGCTACTTATCCTGACATTTTATGGCAGGTCCTAAGCTGAAATTGCAGCAGGAACTTAAGCGCATCATTCAGAAGATTATGGAGTTGAAAATTGGTGATGATGTTGAAAACCAGGAGGACGAGAGGCAAGATCAAAACACTCCCCAGCCACAGGTCGCAGAGGGCATATTAGTACTCTACAAAGCGAAGACCGAGAAGAAAACGAAGAAGAAACCACCGAGTGCGCAGGGCGTATTAGTACCCTACGAAGTGAAAAAGAAACGGCCTAGAGTCGAACTCGATGCAGTGACAATTCAAAGGTGGAAGCAATCAATGTTGTTAGATGGTGGTGCCAGGGACGAGGCGGACAAAGACAGTAGAAAGTGGGAACGGGAAAGAGGCCTCTTCCGAGGCCGGGTCGAGTCATTCCTTGCCCTCATGCATCTGATTTTAGGTAAAACATCTCAATGCAACAGCTTTATCATCCTGCAACTTTTAGTACACCAGAAACCTCAGAAATGAATGTTTAGTAGGAAGCACGGTTGGCAACATAACTTAGATTTTATTGCAACAACAATTTCAGGTGCAGGAACACACCTTTAAATAAGCGACTTACTCTCATGCAACTCACAAGCTCAAAAGACCACACCAAATTGTCACTCACCACTCAATCTACACAACACAACTCACCGACTTCACTTACTCAACACAAACTCATGCCGCTCACCTCACTCACAAGAATTCAAACTTCTTATTTTCCTCTCTCTCGCGTGCACTATTCACCGAACTCTTCTAGGCTATTTACAGGCGCACTAGGCTCGTCATCCTTGCTGCGACATTCTTGCAGGAAATTTCCTGCACATTGCCTTTACACATCATAAAAGAAATCTGAATGATTTCTAGGCACACATATCAATGATATTGCGGACATAATCGAGGCACATTCAAGATTTATAGTTAACCAATGTAGGGAGAGTCTTGGATAAGTCTTAGAGAATCCTAGAAAGATAGAATGGTATTGGTCATTTCATAATGAATACATATATGCTGTGCAGTGCAGTTATAATAACAGAAGAATGAACCCACAATGTCTCGTTTCATTCAAAGGAAGAAGCTTCATGATTGATTCAGGCCATTTTGGCTTGCAGAGCTTTGCTTGATAGTAAGCAATTAGGTCAGCTGGTGCTAGATCTTTGAGAGAAAGTCGAATCTTCCAATTATTTGAGTAGATAAATTTATACATCTTAGGATTTTCTAAAAGAATGCATGTTTCTCTTCAAGTAAGATTAAATCAACATACTTATCTTACTCTGAGACCGTTGGTTGTGAGATTTAATGATTTCGAAATAGCGGTATCTACAATCATTGTGGTTTACATGAAGAAGTAACGGAAAAATATATTTGCAAACTTTGCAGGGGATAGACATTTCACATTCTGGAAAGGCTCTGTTGTGGACTCAATTATTGGAGTTTATCTGACTCAGAATGTGTCCGACTATCTTTCGAGGTTAGTTTCAGCTTAGTACAGGTGGCAATTTTGTTTCTTTCTTGAAAATTATGTATACATCCCTCTCACTAGGGACATAATAAGACTTTGGAAAGAAGTAACCGATTATGTTCTTTGTGACCGTATATTTCACTTCCAGCAACGCATTCATGTCATTGGCTTCAAAGTTTCCCCTCTACCCAGTCAATGCTGAACAAAATGGGGAGATTGCTGACAAGATTCAGGAATTCCATAACATCTTGGAACAAATCTTAGAAAAAATTGTCGGAAAAGAAGAAACAGTGAAGATTAAGGAATCCCATAACATCTTCGAACAAATCTTGGAACAATTCGTGGGAAAAGAAGAAATAGTGCGATCCCAAGGTGATCTCAAACATGAGAAAGGGCATGCCGGAAGACCAGCATCTCCTTCAGCAGAAAAGAAAAATGAAGTCACTAAAAGAGAAAAGAAAAGGAAAGGAAAAGTCGAGGAGAAGAAAACTGACCCCTTGGAGTGGGAGAAACTGAGGATGTTATATTCCACTGCTGGACCAAGAATTGCTGATCATATGGATTCCGTGGATTGGGATGCAGTTAGGCGTGCAGAGCGTGACGAAGTTGCAGCAACCATCAAAGAGCGCGGTCAACATAACATACTAGCCGATCGAATCCATGTATGTTTCTTTACCTTCAATCTCTGACAAGCTATTCCTTCCTAGTGTACCATTGAAATTTGATTCAATGAATGAAATACTTATTCTGCATGTAGGATTTTCTTGATGACCTGGTTAGGAAACAGGGCAGCATCGACCTAGAATGGTTGAGAAATTGCCCACCTAACAAAGTAAAGTAAGCACTTGTTGATTGTTTAGTTTGCTAGATAATTTTGTAAAAGCCATTGTTACTCATTCACATCTTTTTTGTGTGCACAGAGAATACTTGTTAGAAGTACCTGGATTGGGATTGAAAAGTGTGGAGTGTGTACGACTTTTGGCACTTCAGCATGTAGCCTTTCCGGTAAAGATTGCAGTGAATAAACAAATAAGCTCATTCTAGAAAGGAGTTTGTTCAATCGCCTCACAAGTTTAGTTTTTCGCAAATTCAGGTTGATACTAATGTTGGTCGCATAGCGGTGCGTCTTGGTTGGGTTCCCCTTGAACCGTTACCTGGAGATCTTCAAATTCATCTGCTTGAAAGGTAAAAATTCCACCAAAAACTAAGTGACAGCATAACTTTTAGAAGAGGGGAAAGTGGAAACTCAAATATTGTTACCTTGCAGCTTCCCAATAATGGATGAAATTCAGAAGTACCTATGGCCACGACTGTGCGAACTTGATCAACGGACCTTGTAAACGCCTACTTCTCTTTCGGAGAAATTGTGTTAGAAGTTATGTTTAATTGGAAATTTAGTATCAACTAGTGTATTTTGTGCTGAAGTTTGTATACCCATTTTCCAGGTATGAGCTACACTATCATTTAATTACATTTGGAAAGGTATGTCCCGTTTATCATTCTCTTGCTTTGAGAATGTGCATTGCTGATTATTTCATATTGGAAACAGGTTTTCTGTACAAAGACCAAGCCCAATTGCAACGCATGTCCAATGAGGGGAGAGTGCAAGCATTTTGCAAGTGCATATGCCAGGTTCATCTTCTTGGTTCCTTGTTATCTTTGAAAGCATGGCCAACTATTCTAAAAAATTAAACTGTTAGATGGCGTCGCAATCTTAATACTTAAATATAACATTGCCCCTGGACTTTTGACTTGAGACTAAAGTGTGGGAATATATAATACGGAGAGCAAATAGAGACCTGGAAAGATTTGAACTTAAGAGCTCCTGCTTTGAACTGTCAATTCTTAATATTTAAATATAATAATGTTAACACACAAGTGTCATTTAGAACAGAACGAAATCCAGAAGTACAGATATTGAGTATTGTCGATACTGCTAATGTGACTGTTCTCGTTCTGTCGCTTTATGTGCCTGTGCTTAGAAATAATCGAGAATTTTGATAACTTTGAATTGTAATGTAAATTCTGCAAAACTGCTTTGCTAGAGCTGGAACTGTCTTTTGGTGTATGGACTAATATCTTAAACCTTAACATCTTATTCTAGTGCGAGACTTTCCCTTCCGGCACCTAAAGCACCTAAAAACGGTGAAAATACCATTGTACTTTCCAACGGCAACGGAGAGTCAACTGCTGCCCACAGTGCCATTCCACTTCCAGAGTCAGGATATCAAACCGGAAGTTGCGAGCCCATTATTGAAGAGCCGGCATCGCCTAAGATTGCATCTAACGAATTGTTAGAGAGAGACATAGAAGATTTTTATTGTGATGATGGTGATGAACTTCTGACTATCAATCTCAGTTCAGCAAAATTCTCAACAGACTTGCAAAGCCCCATAAATGATGTTGGCATGTCTGAAGAAAACTCGAGAGCCCTAGTCGCTTTACACAACTTCATTCCCATGCCCAAACTGAAGGAGGTGACTCGCTTAAGGACTGAACACTACGTGTAAGTAGTAAATTTTTGGCCATGGAATCATATTTTTTATATGCTCTTATATGAAAAAGAAGAATTGTTCGGCTTCGGTAAATTGAAAACATATTATTCGAATTTAAGAAAATAATAAGAACAATGATATGCTTAGAAGATACTTGACAGAATACTTTTTAGTTATGTAGTGATGGATTTTAGATTCTTGTAGTAAATTGTGAATAAAGAATATAGGTTGTAGTCGATTAATTGTTTTCTCTAATGAAAAAAGAATACATCGTTTGATACTCGGTTTTCCTTTTCGGCAGATATGAGCTTCCAGATTCACATCCTCTCCTTAGAGAAGTGAGTTGATTCCCCTCTTTTAATGTAGGTTTTAATGTATGTTTGGGACTCACACTTTCTGTATGACAGTTACCGAGGCGTGAAGCGGATGATCCATGCCCCTATCTTCTTCTTATACGGACTGAAGGTATGGACAACCGTTAAAAAGAGCATGAGGGGTTCCATGAATGACTAAATTAGATGATTTAGAAGAATAAGTCTGCATATTTTGATTCTTTGATCCTGTGAAAGACAATATGCGGCGGTGATTTACGGCCGGGTCATGAGAATTATATGAGCACTGTCAACTTCATAACCAACATCTCTTGTGAACTTTTCCGTGGTCAGAGGAAGCCGCAGATTCATCCAAGTTGCTCAATGGCGCATGCGATTCTTGTAATGAACAAACTTGTCAAGAAGAGAGTTGTGCTACAATCAAAGGAACTCTTCTGGTTGGTGAAGATTAAGTTTCATCTGAATTGATTTGTCCTAATGAGACAGTGCAGATGTATGTTTCCGGCGCAATAGTGACTAATGTATAAAATACATATTAACAGATACCTTGTCGAACATCGCTGGGTGCAAGATTTCCGCTAAATGGAACATACTTTCAAGTAAATGAGGTGAGCGTAATCTAGACCAATCTTTTTCTCCTATTATGTCGACATCACTTTCATTTTTGTTCTTTGATATGTTACCTCTCATACGTAAAGCATAACTGGTTTAATATCCGGATTAGCATTGACGTCTCGATTGCTCAGGTTTTCGCCGACCATGAATCGAGTCATAATCCAATCGAGGTTCCGAGAAGGTGGATATGGAACTTAAGGAGGAGAATTGTGTACTTTGGAACTTCAGCATCCTCAATTTTCAAAGGTGGGTTGCCCAGTTATCAATTCTGACAATATCCTGATATATGGCTTACCAAATTCGTTTTTTTTTTTTTGTCTCAAGCAGGATTAACCATGGAGAAGATTCAGTCTTGCTTTCGCAACGGTATGAAAGAGCCTTTCTATTAAACTGCCGATACGAATTTTTTCCTCTTTACCTGAAGATAGCGTTCTCTTGAATAAGAATTTTAACCGGTGTTATATCAATTTAGATTTGTCTGATAAATGAATTTTGATATGTAGGATTTATTTGTATTAGAGGAATTGATCGGAAAACGGGAGCTCCCAGACCCCTAATACCAAGATTTCATCGACTAGCGCATAAGGCACCTAAGTCGAAGAAGTCGACTTAGATAAATCTACTGCTTTGTACATATGTTGGTTTTGTACCTTCTTTAATGTTGGAGACGGTGATTAACTAAATTGAAATCTCTCATTGTAAAGTTTCAGTCTGATAAGATGTATCCAAATGGCATGAAATTGTGCCAAACTTCATTCTTTATCTCCATATTCGACAAAATGACATTCCCATTATTAATGATTTGTTTAGTTGAATGTTTGACATAAAATCAATTTCCATTGCCGCCGATGCGAACAACAAAACACAATGTAGCATATCAAGGGCTTCAATCTCATTTCAGCCAGGAAATTGATTATTTTGCTTTTTGTTATGGATGAATCGTGATAATTAATATACAGAGAGCTTGAGTCAGAGCCGTTAAATTATGTGAAAAGATCAAGGATGGATCAGAGTAGAAAGGAGATGGGAGTCGTGGCCACGTATGAACCGGAACCGGCGGTTCCGGGCCAGTTCCAGTTCCGGCCGGTTCCGGTTCCGGTTCGTAATTTAAAAATTAATAAAATAAATTATAAAATAAAATTTGCAGGCCTGGTCCTCCGTCGGTTGTCGCTCGGGCTTCGCGGCCTTGGCCACGGTGGCGGAGGTGGGGTTCAAGGCGGCGAGGAGATGAAGCGGGAGACAGGGGCGGCGGCGAGGGGGAGAAGGAGGGGGCCGGGAGGGGGATGGGGACGTGGACGGAGAGGAGGAGCGGGGGGTCCTCCTCCTCCAGGGTCGGGAGGAGGGGAGGAGGAGGGGGCGTTGGCGTCGGCAGCTGCGACCATGGGCGGCGGCAGCGGCGGTCAGATCTGGGGAGACGGGGGGTGGGCGGAGGAGAAAAGGGGAGGAGGCGCAGGGTAGCAAGGGGGAAGGAGGAGGGGGCGTCGGCGGTTGCGGTCATGGGCGGGGGCGACGGCGGCGGGGGTCAGATCTGGGAAGACAGGGGGCGGGCGGAGGAGAAGAAGAAGAAGAAGAAGATCAGAGGCTGAGCACGAGAGAGAGAGAGAGAGAGCAATGAAGCAGCAGTTTAGTTTTTTTTTTTTTTTTTGGAATCGGGCCCGTAGGCCACGGGCCGGTTCCGATTCCGAACCGCGGGCCTGGTCAACGGGCTAGTCCCGGGTTTGACCCTGGCCGGTTCCGGGCCAAAATCGACCAGTGGCCATGTCTAGATGGGACTCTTGCCCCCCTTATTTTTCTGATATATCAAAATAATATAGTGATTTAGGTTTTATGAAATTAGTTTAGCCTTCTGACCAAAAAAAAAGAAAAGAAATTATTTTAGCCTGGAAATATATCTTTTGTTCCTACTAGATTTCTTAAAAAGTAGACAATCAAGATGAGAGTAATATCTTCATTTCAATTTGCCCCCACAAATTGATAAAGCTTCTAACAAAATTTTTTTGATAAAGCTTGACATAGAATTTTAGATCATGACGACGAAAAAAAAAACCCTACATTTTATTGATTTTTATCAAATTCTCAGTGCCAAATTAGTGCGACAAAAAAAAAAATCCCCAATTAGTTATAAAAATAATCCCTGACCATATTATATATAGGAAAATTGTCCAAAAATTGCCAAATCTACTGTACGAGAACCAATTAAATTTTTAAATTTTCAATTTGATCAATTTAATCCTAAACCTTTTGACGATATGGTCGGCGCAAACGTGAATGATTTCTTCATTTTTTTAAATTTTATGATTTTTCAGATTTTTTATTGTCTTTTTTCTTTTTTTTCCCGCTATCAAGTGCCGGCAGGAGTTGTCGGGGCCTTGGCGATGTCACCAGCCATTGGGTGTGGGCTTGCCATCGCTGGCCACTAGGCAAGGGCAGCAAAACCTTTGCTAACCCTTTCGAGAAGATGAATAGTGGGAAAAAAAAAAGAAAAGAAAAATTATAAAAATTTAGAAAATTAAATAAAAATAACAAAATCGTCCACATTAGCGTCAACTATACCGCATATGATGGCCGATAGCCACGTCAGCGGTTTTTGGACAAAATTGATTGCTATGACTATATTGAAAAATCATTAAAAGGTTTAAGACTAAATTGATCAAATTAAAAACTTTATACTGAATTGGCCGTTGTACAATAAGTTTTGGACTTCTTGTACAATTGCGCTAATTTTACGTCCATCCAGAAAAAATTAATAGATCCTTCTCTATGTGAGATTTAGCAAAGATTGAGGTGCATTGAGCTCGTATGAACCTATGTCTACCACAATTTTCCTTCACGAGGTGCATTGGCATGGCCTAAGCCCTCAAATGATCTCCAATCGCTGTTATCTTTAAGATAAGGACGATTCCCTTTCAAAGAAGCTTGGTTTCCTCGCCAAACAAGAGTTCCAAGAGAAGAGACACGATTTCCTAATAAAGAATATCCGAAGAAGAAGAACAGACACGAACAATTGTAGCGAGTATAAACACGCTAGCCACGGGATGAGGCGGGAGCGACTAGATCCGTTGCCGTCCCATCCCATGTACGAAGCAATACATTCAGTAGTCCTATTCCCGTGCTGGAAATTCACTCCGTGAAATTATAAGCACGTAAGTTCATATACATTAAAATGAACGATCAGGAATAGTGAACCGTAACTATTGCCCATTAAATTTCCCTCGTAGCCATCCATCTAACGATCTATATGTACAACATCTGCGACACCCAGAAATTGGATTACATAATTTAAATCCCACTAAACTCAATTCATCTTCATTGGCTGCCTTTCTTAAAGAGAGTTACAGTAAGATTCATACAGAACGAGAAACGGAACAACAGCACGCGACGCACGTCCCTCTGCTGTGCTACAGGAACTTTCATCGGCACGGATTCACCCGTACGTGTGGAGTGGCTCCACGAAGGAGAAGAGCCTTGAAATCCTCCCCCCCGAAGTGAAAGGATCGTCGAATTACGGTTTTACCCCGACCCTCGGTTTGCTGGGGACCGCCGCGTTCGACCGGGACAGGCGGGCCCACGGTTCCAGGACCGAGTCGCGGAACCTGTACGGGAGAACCTGGTTCCTCCCCCGCTTCGACCTCACCACCGGCGGCGGCGACGGCGACGCGTCCACCTCGGACTCTCCGAAGGCCGCCTCCGGAACCTGTCGCTTCCCCTTCGACCCCTGCAGCTCGGTCTTGGTCGGTTCCTCGGTCGCGTCTGCTTTGGTTCGAGCGGAATCGTGGAGCTCGCGCAGCGGACACGGTCGCTCTCTTGACTCGGTCCCGTCGTCCTCGTCTTCATCGCCGTCGCCGACGTCGCGTCCGGAGACCAATTTCGCCGCTTCGACGAGCAAGCCCAAGAAGCCGTCGCTGTTCGACCGCTTCATCTCGCTCGCGCGATCTTCGTCGCTCTTCTCAAAGCTCTGAACTTGCACGTTGGTGATCTCCGAACCACTGTCATCTTCACCATTCTCTTCTCCTTCTTCTTCAGCTTCGACGCGATTTCGCACTCCACCCACGACGGCTCGTTCGCAGTTCCTCTCATCAGTTTGCTGCGCCGTCTCGCGTCCAACCTCAGAGCTCTTCTCGAGCGCCGTATTCCTCTCATCCACCTCAGGAGCCGCGACAGAGCTCGAACTGAACGAGCCGCTTTCCTCCGCAAAACCCACGTTCTCTTCTTCTTCTTCTTCTTCTTCCTCCTCCTCGTCGCCGAACGAAGCGCTGCACAATCGCAGGTTCAGATCGATGCCCAGGCCTCCGTTCGAGCCCTGGAGGCTGGAAGGTGGGTCCTTGGACGAAGCGATTATGCGGAGGATCTTGTGGAGACACGCCTGAGCCTTGGAACACCCACGACGATTCTCGTCATCGCCGCTCAACAGAGGAGGAGGAGGAGGAGGAGGAGGAGGAGGCCGCACCTGACGATCGGAATGGTTGACGAATTGAGACGCGGAAGACATTGCTCGGAGGACTCCGACCCCACCCTTCTTCACCGCCGCGCGAGATTTGGAGGCTTCGCAGCTGCGAAAAACTCTCTACCCTTGCTCCGTCGCTTGCTCCGTCGCCATTGGAGAAGATGAACGATCGGTGGTCGCGTTCTAGAGACCGAGGAACAAAGACCCGAAGAGATCGGGAGAGACGAGAGGAACAGTACTGGAGCGAGAGACAAAAGCAAAGGTTCACGCCCGATATGCCTGCCTCACTGCCTGGGCCTTGGAGCTGGAAAAAGAAACTTTTGACATTCTATATATTTTTTTTCCTCTCTCTCTTTAATGGATGACCTATGTTAATATCTTCTTTATGGGAAATGTTTCTTAGTACTTTATCACATTTTCTACTTAGTCTATATATCTTATTTGTAATACCCGCTTCATATATGGCAATATCAAGTGTTATGATAGTGCAATGTTAATGTTCGATTATCGTGTTAAGAGAAGAAGGACTATGGGTGTGGGATTATTATTGGGTCCGCCATCAACATAGAAAAATCTTCACACATTCTGTACTGAATGAGTGATATGTGTGTTCAAAATCAAATTTCTAATGGAATTTACTCGCGTGTCACATCATCCGGCAAATGTGTATGGGTAGAGATAATGAGCGAAATTCTCTGTTTTCTTTTAGTAAAAAAAATCCAAGAATCATGTATGACCGCGATTAGTCAAAATTTAGAAAAGAACAAGTATTATATCAAACTGTCCATTAGTTTAATTGTTCTCGTCCATCACAAGGATGATCAAAGACAAAATCGGTCCTCGTCGGTCGGAGGCGGCATGAACTTCGCGATGGGTCGCACGGCGCGTGGACCGATCATCTCCTTCGGGACGCGCTTCACGGCTCGGCACGTAAATGAGCCCGATTGTGACCCGATTCCCGTCCCTTAATTGGAGAAGCCCAGCACAAATTGGGCGGATAAATGTCATTTTCTCTATGAGGTTTTCTTTCCCATCGTGAGCTTCTTTATGGCCGCGATCGGAGCTTTTATGGGACATGGACTTGACCCTGCTAGGGGAAGGGGCGGTGGCCCCGCGGAGTTCCTGCCGTGCCGATGTGGCTCGCTTTTATTGGAGGAAACGGCACGGATAGTTTTTAAACTTTAACCCGATACGTAATGTCGTTCTGGTTGAACTTTTTAAATTGCTCGATGTGGTATTTAACGATTTCTATGTGTTCAATCTAGTCCCTAAACTTTCAATTTATTCAATATAATCTCTCATAAATAAAATTTGGTTCTTTGATACTATTCTCG